TTGAATTGCACGATCACATTGGTTCCAGGTCTTTTCGGTGGAGCTGGTGTGGGTAAGACCGTACTTATCATGGAACTGATCAACAACGTGGCCAAGGCTCATGGTGGTTACTCTGTATTTGCTGGTGTTGGAGAGAGAACCCGTGAGGGCAATGACTTGTACCATGAGATGATCACATCCAAAGTCATCAGTCTCACAGATGATACCTCCAAGGTTAGTACCAAGTCCTATTTCTTGAAGAATCACACACTAGAAGCCAGCTTATAAATAAATAAATAAAATAATAAATAAAAAAATAAATAAATAAATAAATAAATAAATAAATAAATAAATAAATGAATAAATAAATGCCTGCTATTACTAATGAAATGAAGGGTATTATCATGATTATCACTGTCTTTTTCCAACTTCAGGTATCTCTAGTATACGGTCAGATGAATGAGCCCCCAGGCGCCCGTGCCCGTGTTGCCTTGACTGGTTTGACTGTTGCCGAGTATTTCCGTGACATGGAGGGACAGGATGTGCTGCTCTTTATTGACAACATCTTCAGATTCACACAGGCTGGCTCAGAGGTAAACCTGCTGATTGTGCAAGTCTTGGTGGCAGTTTTTGATACAGGGGGTGGTTGGGTAGCCTAGTGGTTAAAGTGTCACGCCGAAAACCAGAGTTCGATCCCCGACATGAATACAATGTGTAAAGCCCATTTCTAGTGTCCCTCGCAATGATATTGCTGGAATATTGCTATAAGCGACGTAAAACCATACTCACTTGCTCAAATTTGATACAGCTCTCTAAATTGCCAGTATTAATTAACATGTTTTTCAAAACCTATTTGAAATTTATTTAAAGGACTTTGGTACATGAAGGTTTTGTCGCCTAGATCTAAGCCCTCTGTGTTCTGTAAAAGTCAATTACTGATTTATTCATAAATATCCCGTTTGTTCTGATTCAATTTAATTTCTTGAATAATGCTCATCTGTGAAGTTTTGGTTGAGATTAGCTATTTGGAGAAGTGAAGTTAGTATGATTTGTTGTCAGGTATCTGCCTTGTTGGGCCGTATCCCCTCTGCTGTAGGCTACCAGCCAACCCTGGCCACAGACATGGGTACCATGCAGGAGAGAATCACAACAACCAAGAAGGGATCCATCACATCAGTACAGGTGGGTTGTGTGTGGAGGCTTGTACAGTCTTGTTAAAGTCTGATCTTCGATACGAATCCTCTGCCTGAATGTCTTAAGACGTCTCCATAGGAGGAGCAATCTTTGACTGCCCAATCGAAAAGAAGCATGCATTCCTGAGCCAATCAGATATGAGTTTTCTCGATCAGAATGTATAAACAATTCCCCAACATTGTGATAGTGCTGCTATTTTGTTTTCGCTTATGCAACTCCTAGACTATGTTCGTGTTCAAGATACAGAGAGGCGGTGGGGAAGCCTAGTGGTTAAGCGTTCACTCGTGGCGTTGAAGACCCAGGTTTGAATCCCGACATGGGTACAATGTGTGCAGCCCATTTCTGGTGTTCCCCACCGTGGTATTGCTAAAAGCGGCGTAAAACCATACTTACTCACTCACTCAATATACAGAAGTAAGATGTTTGAGTGAATACCTTGCTCACTCATACGGTCATACCGAGAATTTAGAAGCCTTGGTGCTGATTGGAAAGTTCACCTGATGCAAAACTATGGAGGTGTCAGATTTTCATGCAGAGAGGTAATTAATGAAATAATAACAATGTCAACACAAATTTTAGTGGCGGTCGTTTTGGAATGTCTTTTGAAATTGTTTGTAAATTTGTTCAAGGCCATCTATGTGCCAGCTGATGACTTGACAGATCCTGCTCCTGCCACCACTTTCGCCCATTTGGACGCCACCACTGTGTTGTCCAGAGGTATTGCTGAGCTGGGTATCTACCCCGCTGTAGATCCTCTTGATTCCACATCGCGTATCCTCGACCCCAACGTTGTAGGAGATGAGCACTATGGCATCGCTCGTGGTGTGCAGAAAATCCTCCAGGTGAGTTGGAACTTTCTTACACATTTGCATTTTTGTCGTTAACTAGAAGCTGTGAAAATCATGTACATGGCTTTCCCATACAGGCATATTGTGTGAAGCCATTTGTGTGTTCCCCTGCTGAATTTTGAGGGGACATCTTGTTAACATTGTCTATAACTGTCATTCAGCCAATAAATTGACATAATAAATCATGCTTGTACAATCTGTTGATTCTATTCTAACATTGCATTGGCTTGATGTTCAGTTGTACTAAAACTTGTAGATTCAGCATCGTCCAGAAGTCAAGTCTGTCGAAAATCTGTCATTTATGAAATCGTATGTGATGTTCTTTCTAATGCTTTGTATGTTGGTCTGTAGTGGTGTTCTGTCTCTGAATTAATTCTCTGCCTTGGTTCAAGTTGGTGAAATATGTTGTAGGACTACAAGTCCCTGCAGGACATCATCGCTATCCTGGGTATGGACGAGTTGTCTGAGGAAGATAAGATGACAGTTGCCCGTGCCAGGAAGATTCAACGTTTCCTGTCACAGCCCTTCCAGGTTGCCGAGGTTTTCACTGGCTCCGAGGGAAAATATGTTGCTCTCAAGGATACCATCAGAGGATTCCAACAGATTCTCAAGGGTAAGCTGCATTGTCTGCTTTATGATGTTTATCATCTACCTTGTCATTATGATTGTTTTGATACTTGGCTGATCATTTTCATAACCATTCAGCCTCACATTTTGTTGTTGCTTGGTGTACGGATCAGACGACTTCAAAAATAGAAACTTCACCAAAAAATAATCCGAATGACAAGGGTTTATTTTAGATTGCTTTGACATAATCCATGGCCTTTTTATATGACTGAAACACTTTTTTCCAATGATAAAGTCATTACAAATCAGATTTTAGTTTTTTAATTTTAATAAGGATCAAAACCAGAACAATATTATCATTTTTTATGACCTAGTAAGATAATTAAAAATATCCAGTACAATGCAATTTATTTTATTACCTTTTTTGACCAACTGATCAAGTTTTTCACTCTCAAAATCCATAAACCAAAAACAGTTAATCTCACATTAATCTGCAGCTGTGACTAACACATATACTTGTATAATTAATGGTAAGTCGTTTGCAAAATCTTTGAACCTGAATATTAACTGGTTGTATGCATCCTTCAATGAGTGATTGTCTTGTTCCAGGTGAGTTGGACCACCTTCCCGAAATCGCCTTCTACATGGTTGGAGGAGTCGAGGAAGTTGTCCAGAAGGCTGAGAAACTAGCAGAGGAACAGAGTTGAACTGATTCATAGTAGTTTTAGGAACAATCTCTGCAAGAAGGCATTGTAAATTATTCGCGATGTGCTACTACAGTTTGAAAGGACGTGTTGACCAGTTATTTTGTAGATATTACAATCATTACTATTGTTTGTCAAAAACTAAAAACTGTAAACAAGAAACAGTGACTGTGCTACTACTGTGGATGAATAAACCTTGTCCACAACAACTGTTGCTTGTGGTCTTTGTACAGGGTTAGCTACAGGTGGAAAGCATGGACTAGTCTTCTAGAAGAAACCTGGTTGTGTTCAAGAAACTACTGGTCCTAAATGAGCTGTGGACTAGTTGGCCATAAAACTGTCTTACGCTGTTGTCAACAAGTTCTTTCTTGATGAGCACAGGATGCTACTTTGTTTTTTGTTTCTACTTAAAAAACTAAGTCAGTAGCCACTCCTTGTTCACTACTACACTGCCCAGATCAAACATCTGGAACTGAGATGGCTTGGCGAGTTGACCATTCCTCATAAACTTTTGCATTTTTGACATCTGTGAAACTTGAGGCATCAAGGAGCTGAAACTTTGCATGAATGATCCCAGCTATCATGTCTAGAAAATTTGCTCACAGAATTCTCATCTAGTTTTAAACATGGCAACCTTTTTATGTAGGAGATATGAGAAACAAGTAACACTGGGCCTAAACTGTCCATGGATGGCAGGCCAGCATTTTTTTCCAATTTATCTACTAGTGTGTCAGTTCCCCTTGGCTGCTCTAAGCCAAAACAGCCATTGCTTCGACCATTAAGGCAAGGGCTAGGGACCTTCAAAGAGGGTTCTTTCTGTGATAGACTACTTCAATAGTAGACCGCCTCCATGGTGTAGTGGATAGGTTGGAAGGTTGTGGGTTCAGTCACAGTCCGCTTCATACCAAAAGACGTTAAAAGATGGTACTTGTTGTTACCCTGCTTGGCACTCGGCATTAACTGGATAAACAGGGACTGGACGGCTCAGTCAGTATGTGTCTGAGTGGGGTATTCATGTTAAACTGTGGCATGGTATCCAAGTGAGCTAGCACTATAAAGTCTCTCTCCGTTGTATTTTTAAATTTTGAAAGTGTAAGCCTGCATGACTGACCTGAGGATAGCTTTTGCAGTTAAAAGTGCGAACTTGTCTCTCAGCATCATTCTAAGTCAATATTAATGTTATTGGCTGGTTTGGTCTCACTTTGATGTGGAATGTTGCTGGCTATTACAGGCTGCTGTGATGTAGCTGGAATATTGCTGACTGCGGCATAAAGCAACATTATATATATGTTGCACTCAGCAATATTCCAGCTATATGACAGAGGTCTGTAAATAATCAAATCTGCACCAGACATCTTGAGCATCCATCACAATGTGGGAGGATCCACTTTCAAAGCATGAAAGTCCAGGTCCTTGTTATATCCCTAATGATAAGTTAGTCTGAGGGCCCCCAGATCCACACACTACAGTAGCCAATCTCAGGAAGCCCTTTAATTGAAACACTGGATCAGACTACTATTGATATTGCAGGCAGTCATAGGATGACGAAAATGTTGACTAGCATATAATTCTGTATACTTTCACTGCAGTGTCGCACCAAACATTCATTTCCCACATTAATTGTGAATGTCATGCTGCATAAGCCTAGAATACATATGTTGTAAAGGTTTTCAAACCTCATGTTCTGAACAGCAATAATAAGGAAGAATTGTGTAATACAAAGCTTTAATTCATCATTTGGAATGGAGACGAATAGGCTTGGATGTTGACTCCAGCATAACCTCGATAAATAAAGCTATTCTAAATGTAACACTGCCTTAAATGGTTCTCTCCACACAACTTGTAGACACAAAACACTTCAATTCAAGGCCATACATACATTTCTTAATAGTAGAAACATGTTTTGGCAAGAACGAACAGTAAGACAAGCTTGGTACAAATTGATGTTCAATGAGCAGAGTTATAATACTAATCAGCAGTACTGATAAGGAGGAGTACAAATCGTGCCTGTTTGTATTTTCTGAAATGTCAGACCTACATGACAATGACAGACAACAGCTTTGGCATCAGTTGGGAAGACTACACCATGGACGGATTGGTTCAAATACGGTAATTCCTCTTGTAAACTGATAAAATTGGTAAAATACAAGCATAAGATAAAACAATTGATCACAGTAAGGACATCTGCCAAGAGAGCAGGCACTGGTACATAACTGGAATATATTAAAAACAACTTGGTACTCGTAAGACTTCAGTGGAATTCTTGTCACTTTGGAAGCAACTGGGCTTCATATCATCTTGATTAAAAAATAATGAAAATCTATCATTTCGACTTCTAAACGATGGACGGACTCAATGGAACTTCTATCAAATAGATGTCCTAACATGTTGAAGTCCATGCATATGGAATTACAATGTATTGAATTATTCCTTCACAATAACCAGATCACCTCTTGGAGTGAGTGAGTGAGTGAGTTGGGTTTAATGCCGCTTTTAACAGTATTCCAGTTATATCGCGGCGTGTCAGCTTAATGTGGGAGGAAAGCCCGAAGTGATACAGTTGTCAGATGTTTACCACTTTGGTGAAACCCACGAGCACGGGTATGGTGCTGACAAACCTAGAAACATTATAGGGGTGAACCGGGATTCGAACCCACAATCATAGGTTTCTGGCACGCCCAAGGGACACAACTCTGCACAGCGAATCACGGCACCTCAGACTGGGCCACCCGTGCCCCCTAGATCACCTTTGGGTCATATTAACTAAAACAACATGAGTGATACTGTATATGGAGTAACTGAATACAAATAATATCTTTAAATAGAGTCTAGCCTTTAGTCTTGGGCCCCACGACACAAAGCGATCTTTGCGCGTAGAGGTTCAAGACTCCCAATTTAACATACTTATGGCGGGTATGCAATAGGATCGCATTGTGGAACGAGGCAGAGGTCAAAATGTTTTACCTCCTGCCCTCTGTGAAACGGAGATCTTGTCTTAATGTAATCAGGTTAATTATTAACTGTATTATATAATTTGAGTTGACAGAAAAGTGGCATTTGAACAACTTGCAAACAAAACGAAGGATTTTGCCAATGCCTAGTTTCCCTCTAAAATGGATTTTCAAGTTGCAAATGCCAAGGAATGACACTCTTTATCAATAAGTCTGCTGTAAAAAGAGCAGAGTTTCTCCGAATAAATACTGATGGTATTATATTGGGGACAAATACTGAGGATAGCATTTGTTTGACCTGACATCCTGTGTGCTCTTGCTATATTGACCTTGACCTCGGAGGATTCAGCGAATTAGATGCAATGTTTTCAGCCTGTTTCTGAAGTGGCCAATCACTGACTGTGTAACATCAGCCAACCAGATGTCTCAGCCTTTCATTGAGTTCCCGTTCTTTCTGCAGCAGATTGTTGGAGTGTTTCTTGAAGGCATCAAATTCCTGCACAGAAAAGAAGCAATTCCAACATCAAAATATTTTGAGTTGGTTACCACATTGGATGTGCTCGATTCCAATTTAATTTTATTTGCACTTAAACCAAGAATGAAATATTGGGGACCTTTTCTGTCCCGAGAGAAACTACTCACATGGGATATTAAGAATAGTTATTATATTTGTTTGTTTAATGCCACACTCAGCAATATTCCAGCTATATGACGGCGGTCTGTAAATAATCGAGTCTGGACCAGACAATCCAGTAACTGACATCATGAGCATCGATCCACGCAATTGGAATACTATGACATGCATCAACCAAGTCAGCGAGCCCAACCACCAGATACCGTTAGTCGCCTCTTACAACAAGCATAGTCGCCTTTTAATTATTTAATTAGGAGTATTTTTTTCTTTCCTTTTCTTCAGCAATATTCAAGCTATGTGACATCCGACTGTAATTCAATCGGGACCAGACAAAGCAGTGATTGATATTATGAGCAACAACTGGGTAACGACATGCAATCAACCAAGGCACAGATGTGACAATACAATCTATAGTTTTCTCTTCCAACAATCGTAGGTTGCTAACCCAGAATCCCCCAGGGGAATCATATGTGTATATTATTATTTGTGATAACATAATATATATGACCAACCATGAGATAAGGGACCTTATGGGAGGAAAATCACATTTTAACTTATTATAATTTACAACCACAGATACTTAGGACCACAAAAATACAATTCATTTATATTACAGAGATACATTGGATCTAACATCTGGACTCATTTTCTGCAAAGTCCCATGTTCAGACTTATACCGTATTCGACGTAATAAGCGCCCCGCTCTAATAAGCGCCCACGGCGATATTTGCTATTATATTGGCTAGGGAACAATCCCAATCAGCACCCCTTCCGATTGATCAATGTACACAAGACTTATTTATTCGTGTATAATACGCACTCGTGTGTTATATCACCCTTTATTATGGGCAATTAAATTCTTGGAAAATATATCTGTCGTATGTAAGCATTTCAGGCTGTTAGCATAAACCACGAAATTTACGATCTTTCAACTCAAAATGATATTCTAATAAGCGCCCCCTATTTCTAATTTTGAGAGCGCCCTGGGCGCTTATTACATTGAATACGGTAACTGTTTATGTAATGATTGCAGTTTTTAGATATAATGTCTGATTAACTGAAAGTAGATATATATGCTAAAATGTTTTGAAACAATGTTTTTTATTATATTACGAACTAAAGAAAGATTTTTTTCACGGAAGTAAGATGACGTCAAACGTCTTTATGTCATCATAGCACAATTGTATCCTAGCACACATAAGGTCCCTTTTCTCCTGGTAGGTCATATACTGGTATATGAATGCAGTCAACTTTTTGGACTCAACCATTTTGAGATAAATTGTGAATTCTACTCTGTTCTGTACATGAAGTTTGAGTACACCATGTACTAGGGCTGGGACGAGTCCAAATGTACAACCTGGGTACTCGACCCCCTATTACACAGCCCTACCCAGGTACCCACTGTAGGTCTCAAGAGTTTGGAACAAAATGTCTGTTTGGTAATTGTTTTACCCCAGCCCCGGCCATAACTATTTAGATTCATGTATCAGATCATGTGTCCACTGAAATTGACTGAATACACTGAATACGCCTACAGATGAGTACACATTGTACACCCTGACTGGAATGTCATCCTGCACATGGGCGCAAGATGGAGCCAGGAGTTAACAATGCCTGTGATTGGTTGATTGCCTCACTCAACCAGGGCCATTAGTCACATGGAGAAAGATCTGCCATGATGACACTGGTTTGTCTCATTGCATCAAGTCACCAGTGTTGTAGATAGTATGAGGAATGGATTGAACTAGGGCTCGGATGAGTCCAATGTACTACCTGGGTACCCAACCCCTAATACCCGACTCTACCCGGGTACCCACTGTAGGTCTCAAGAGTTGGGAACAAAATGTCTGATTGGAAACTGTTTTACCGAATCCCTGGCAAAAACTATTTAGATACATATATTTAACGATCAGATCATGCGTACACTGAAGTTGACTGAAGCTGAATCTTTACTCAAAACATATACGAGTCAAAAGGAATGTGTGCATCGTCAGAAAGAAATGCGAACATTAGCAACTTGTCGTGTAACCCACTGAGCTATAGTGAGTTTTTTTCATTAAACAATATATCGCATGACTTACCATAGGTCCGGGTAGTCCTGTGGGTACCCGGGTCCTACTCAGGACCCACCCAACCCGAGTTACCCGTCCAAGCGCTACCATGTATTGTTTACATTTTACATCACAACAGATTACACCTAATTAACTAGAAAATTAATAACCTCACAGACATGCACCTTGATCATGTTCATCAGTGTTTCAAAGCAAGGCTGCTAATGTGAGAGGAATGCCTAAAGTGACTCAGGTCAAAGTTTTGCAAAAATGTGAATGGGTATGGTGCGGACCATCTTCCCGAGGCAAGACTATAAAAGTCCAGTTTCCACCTTTGCCGAACTAGGCTGGTATTATGGAGTTACATTTTGGCTGTACTAACGAGTCTATGCATAGTCCAATCACAATCGTGCAACGAAATCAAAATCCGGTTCATAAACTGTAATGCAGATTTTGGTCGATTTCAGGATTTGCAAAGGATGTGAACCGCCAACTTGTTGTCAACAGATATTTTCAAAATCTTTTTATGTTTGTAATCAAGGTGCTCACGTGATTTGATGCTCTTTGCGATGTAAGACCTGTTTTATCACAATATAGATCTTGATTATCGGTCAGATCGTCTTGAATGGGCACCGCCATTTTGTTTGAAGCAAATGGAAGTGATATGAGAGGTGAAATCAGATTGGTCCACAAGAGATGCTAAGAAGGGACATAACTGGTAATAACCACTGGTGGCACTACGATCGAGCCCAGGAAATCCAGCCTAGTTCAGCAAGGGTGGAAACTGGACTTTAAAAGTCAGTTAACTCTCTTGCCTCAAGAAGATGGGTGCTGACAGATTAAGGATAAAAATTTGTGACTAATCTGAGATTTTGATCCCAGAAACAACTGCACAGCAAGATCAGGCACCAAAGTCCCATGACCCTCACCAGTTAGGATGTAATACAACTGCACATATCAATACGGTACAATACAGAGAGACATCTTGGATTGATTTCGGGACTTCAAATTTGTACACAATTTGACAGACATGGAACCCAAATACATACAATGTGAAAGTGAACGATGAATCATTCATAGAGACACGGTGCCATGCATTGTGAATGTAGATTGAGTGAATATGGTTTTATGCCACTTCCAGCACTATTGGCACAATACCAAGAATGGGTTAGACATCATTCCTTTATGGTGAGTGAGTGAGTGTTTTAGGCCGTTTTAAGCAATATCACGACGGGGAACACTAGAAATGAGCTCACACATTGTACCCATGTCGGGAATCAAACCTGGGTCTTTGGAATCACGAGCGAATGCTTTAACCACAGGACTACCCCTTCTCCCAATGTGTGAGTGGTGACGTGAACTACATGAAATGCTGTGACACCAATTTCTACTGGTCATACCTCAATCTGATCCCGCAGGAAGAACAGAGAATGTCATACATGAAGGGAAACAAAATTAATTCATCGTCAAAACATATTCAGTTGAAGATTTGTATACAGGTGTGAGGCAAGTAGTATCTGTATACAGGTGTTACACAAGTGGTATCTGTATACAGGTGTGAGGCAAGTAGTATCTGTATACAGGTGTGACACAAGTAGCATCGTGATACAGGTGTGAGGCAAGTAGTATCTGTATACAGGTGTGAGACAAATAGCATCTGTATACAGGTGTGAGGCAAGTAGTATCTGTATACAGGTGTGACACAAGTAGTATACGTATACAGGTGTGAGGCAAGTGGTATCTGTATACAGGTGTGAGGCAAGTAGTATCTGTATACAGGTGTGAGGCAAGTGGTATATGTATACAGGTGTAAGGCAAGTGGTATATGTATACAGGTTTGAGGCAAGTAGTATCTGTATACAGGTGTGAGGCAAGTAGTATCTGGATACAGGTGTGAGGCAAGTAGTATCTGTGTACAGGTGTGAGGCAAGTGATATCTGTATACAGGTGTGAGGCAAGTAGTATCTTGATACAGGTGTGAGGCAAGTAGTATCTGTATACAGGCATGAGGCAAGTAGCATCTGTATAAAGGTGTGAGGCAAGTGGTATCTGTATACAGGTGTGAGGCAAGTAGTATCTTGATACAGCTGTGAGGCAAGTAGTATCTGTATACAGGTGTGAGGCAAGTAGTATCTGTATACAGGTGTTACACATGTGGTATCTGTATACAGGTGTGAGGCAAGAAGTATCTGTATACAGGTGTGAGACAAATAGCATCTGTATACAGGTGTGAGGCAAGTAGTATCTGTATACAGGTGTGACACAAGTAGTATACGTATACAGGTGTGAGGCAAGTGGTATCTGTATACAGGTGTGAGGCAAGTAGTATCTGTATACAGGTGTGAGGCAAGTGGTATATGTATACAGGTGTAAGGCAAGTGGTATATGTATACAGGTTTGAGGCAAGTAGTATCTGTATACAGGTGTGAGGCAAGTAGTATCTGGATACAGGTGTGAGGCAAGTAGTATCTGTGTACAGGTGTGAGGCAAGTGATATCTGTATACAGGTGTGAGGCAAGTAGTATCTTGATACAGGTGTGAGGCAAGTAGTATCTGTATACAGGCGTGAGGCAAGTAGCATCTGTATAAAGGTGTGAGGCAAGTGGTATCTGTATACAGGTGTGAGGCAAGTAGTATCTTGATACAGGTGTGAGGCAAGTAGTATCTGTATACAGGTGTGAGGCAAGTAGTATCTGTATACAGGTGTTACACAAGTGGTATCTGTATACAGGTGTGAGGCAAGAAGTATCTGTATACAGGTGTGACACAAGTAGTATATGTATACAGGTGTGAGGCAAGTGGTATCTGTATACAGGTGTGAGGCAAGTAGTATCTGTATACAGGTGTGAGGCAAGTGGTATATGTATACAGGTGTAAGGCAAGTGGTATATGTATACAGGTTTGAGGCAAGTAGTATATTTATACAGGTGTGAGGCAAGTAGTATCTGGATACAGGTGTGAGGCAAGTAGTATCTGTGTACAGGTGTGAGGCAAGTGATATCTGTATACAGGTGTGAGGCAAGTAGTATCTTGATACAGGTGTGAGGCAAGTAGTATCTGTATACAGGTGTGAAGCAAGTAGTATCTGTATACAGGTGTGAGGCAAGTAGTATCTGGATACAGGTGTGAGGCAAGTAGTATATGTATACAGGTGTGAGGCAAGTAGTATATGTATACAGGTGTGAGGCAAGTGGTATCTGTATACAGGTGTGAGGCAAGTAGTATCTGGGTACAGGTGAGGCAAGTAGTATCTGTATACAGGTGTGAGGCAAGTAGTATATGTATACAGGTGTGAGGCAAGTAGTATCTTTATACAGGTGTGAGGCAAGTAGTTTCTGTATACAGGTGTGAAGCAAGTAGTATCTGTATACAGGTGTGAGGCAAGTAGTATATGTATACAGGTGTGAAGCAAGTAGTATATGTATACAGGTGTGAGGCAAGTAGTTTATGTTTACAGGTGAGGCAAGTAGTATCTGTATACAGGTGTGAGGCAAGTAGTATCTGGATACAGGTGTGAGGCAAGTAGTATCTGTAAACAGGTGTGAGGCAAGTAGTATCTGGGTACAGGTGTGAGGCAAGTAGTGTGTATACAGGTGTGAGGCAAGTAGTATCTGTATACAGGTGTGAGGCAAGTAGTATCTGTATACAGGTGTGAGGCAAGTAGTATATGTATACAGGTGTGAGGCAAGTAGTATCTGTATACAGGTGTGAGGCAAGTAGTATCTGTATATAGGTGTGAGGCAAATAGTATCTGTATACAGGTGTGACACAAGTAGTATATGTATACAGGTGTGAGGCAAGTAGTATCTGGGTACAGGTGTGAGGCAAGTAGTGTCTATACAGGTGTGAGGCAAGTAGTATCTGTATACAGGTGTGAGGCAAGTAGTATCTGTATACAGGTGTGAGGCAAGTAGTATCTGTATATAGGTGTGAGGCAAGTAGTATCTGTATACAGGTGTGAGGCAAGTAGTATCTGTATACAGGTGTGACATAAGTAGTATCTGTATACAGGTGTGAGGCAAGTAGTATCTGTATACAGGTGTGAGGCAAGTAGTATATGTATACAGGTGTGAAGCAAGTAGTATCTGTATACAGGTGTGAGGCAAGTAGTATCTGTATACAGGTGTGACATAAGTAGTATCTGTATACAGGTGTGAGGCAAGTAGTATCTGTATACAGGTGTGAGGCAAGTAGTATATGTATACAGGTGTGAAGCAAGTAGTATCTGTATACAGGAGTGAGGCAAGTAGTATCTGTATACAGGTGTGAGGCAAGTAGTATCAATACATGGGCGGATACAGCTTTTTTTAAAAGGGGGGGTGCACAATTAAGATCTATTTATTGTCTTTGGTGGTAATTTATCCAGAAATAAAGATTTTTTTCGAAATAAAAAGGGGGGGTGCGCACCCCCACATCCCCCCTCTGTATCCGCCCATGCAATATACAGGTGTGCGGCAAGTAGTATCTGTATACAGGTGTGACACAAGTAGTATCTGTATACAGTTGTGAGGCTAGTAGTATCTGTATACGTTTGTCACATTTGTAATATCTGTATACAGGTGTGAGGCAAGTAGTATCTGTATACAGGTGTGAGGCAAGTAGTATCTGTATACAGGTGTGACATAAGTAGTATCTGTATACAGGTGTGAGGCAAGTAGTATCTGTATACAGGTGTGAGGCAAGTAGTATATGTATACAGGTGTGAAGCAAGTAGTATCTGTATACAGGAGTGAGGCAAGTAGTATCTGTATACAGGTGTGAGGCAAGTAGTATCAATACATGGGCGGATACAGCTTTTTTTAAAAGGGGGGGTGCACAATTAAGATCTATTTATTGTCTTTGGTGGTAATTTATCCAGAAATAAAGATTTTTTTCGAAATAAAAAGGGGGGGTGCGCACCCCCACATCCCCCCTCTGTATCCGCCCATGCAATATACAGGTGTGCGGCAAGTAGTATCTGTATACAGGTGTGACACAAGTAGTATCTGTATACAGTTGTGAGGCTAGTAGTATCTGTATACGTTTGTCACATTTGTAATATCTGTATACAGGTGTGAGGCAAGTAGTATCTGTATACAGGTGTGACACATGTAGTATCTGTATACAGGTGTGAGGCAAGTAGTATCTGTATACAGGTGTGACACATGTAGTATCCGTATACAGGTGTGAGGCAAGTAGTATCTGTGTCACCTTGAGAACTTCTTTTTGTCTTATGTTGGCTTCCGATAAGTCTTCACGTAACTTCCGCACTTGGATGTTGGCATTGACCGATGATGCCTCAGATCTGAAAATGGAGCACAATGATTTATTATAAAAACGACATATCAACAGTTAGCAAAGCGAACTCATATGTACACAAGCTGACTGTAAACATCCTTACTCCTTACACGCTGGTCATTGTATTCACTTATTTGCAATACTGCTGAAGACTTGGAGTGAGAGTGATTTGGGGTGAATGGTCACATTTTCAGCCTAGGTGAAGACATTTATCCCATCCATCCATCTCACCTTGTCACCTTTACAGGGGTAGAAACTAACATTTTTAACCCACTAGTCCTTATAATGATAACATATAGCAAAACCCTTAAAAATGGCAAATTTCTTATGATACCTTAACCATTGGGCAGTTTGGCATGGACTATAGGACTAGTGCCAATTTCTAACACTGCTTTATGATTCAACCCAGGGCTCCTGCAGCCCACTGAGTTGTTGGTTTCATAAAATGTTAAAAGTTAGTTTGTAAATATATAATGCGATCTTGCTAGAGCGAGACTCCCTTCAAGATGGCGCCACCCAGCGAGTGATTGTGTTCAATGTCGTCCGGGTAACTTGTTACTGGTAAGTAATGTTCTATGTGATGGTTGACGTGACGTAAGTGAGGCAGGTCGGTGAGGAATGGCAATAAGACGTTAGTCTGGTTCAGAGTGCTGCTGCGTGCACACATACATGTCTGTTCTTGAATATAACCGAATAAACAGCATTGACTCAAGACATTGTTGTGTCATCACTGCATCATTCCGATATAACAGTTCGTTTGTAGACCCTGACTATTTTTTTAAACCTACTGAAATTTCTCCTCCATCTTCCGGACAGACTTCTCCATCTCCTCCACTTTCCTCTGCAGAATCTTGTTGTCTGTCTGTTCCTTCTACAACAGAAACCCCAGATTCCTGGTTAGAATGGTTTCCAGATTCCATCAATGTTTATACAGTAAATTGATTGATGGACACAGAGTGCTGACTCTGTGTCCATTAGACAATTCACTGGCTTCCAATCATCCCAATCAGCTTCCGTGGTTGCTTACCCTGTCCCATTGTAAACCACTGGCTTCCTATTATCTTAATCAGCTCTCTGTGTCCATCAATCAATTTACTGTATAAACATTGATGTTAATAAGTATATATATACCTATGTTGTTTAGCACTATCAAACTACCTAAATGAACACCAAATTAAAAATCTTAAACAAAACTGCAAACAATCAAATATCTTCACCCCTAAACTTAAAATACCCAAAATAGACACAACACTAGCTAGCGAAATAAATAAACAAACCGACCCAAACATAGCTAAAACTACCACACTAGCATACATACACGAAAATTGGCCAAATTGGTGTCACATTCACACGGACGGATCCTCAGATCCGACCTCCAAACACACAGGTTTCTGAGTCAATACCACACAACCAACTAAAACCACACAATCCTTCCGACTCCCAAACAACCAATCAATATTCACGGCAGAACTAATGGGCATGGCCTCAGCCCTCCATAATCAAGAATAAAAAAAAAATAAAAAAAATCCTAATACTTACCGACTCCCTAAGTGGACTGCAAGCCCTCCAAAACAAAAATACCAAAAACCGACCTAAATTAATAAATTAAATACTTAAAAGCTCCAACGACCTAACTAAGGCAGGCAAACAAATAACCTTCTTGTGGATACCCGCCCACATAGGAATATACGGTAATGAAAACACCGATAGAGCAGCTAAACTATCCCTCAAAATCCCAGAAATAAGCTTAAACTTACCCATCTCAAAATCAGAAATTAAAAGTGTAAACAAGCAAAAAATCACAAAAAAATGGCATAACCTATATCTAAACTCAAATAGCCAAATCAAAATAGTGCTCAGCAAACCACTAACCAAACCAAAATTTCTCCATCCATCCCAAAAAATCGACAGAGTAATCACTAAACTCCAAACAGGACACACCAACCTAAATAACCACCTAAAATTTTTTAAAAAACACACTACAGGTAACTGCCCACACTGCAAACAACCAGAAACCCTAGAACACGCACTCATCCACTGCACACACTACCTAACACATCGAACCGCATAACAAACCACCCTCAATCTAAACAAGGCTCTAACTCTAGAAGCAATACTAAACCCACAAAATAAACTAGAAAACTTCAAGGCCTTAGGCGTATTCTTAATAAAAACGGAACTAATAAAACGCATCTAAAAACACAATAACCTACCAAATCAAAATCACATAAACAAACAAACATCCACCATACCCAGCTCCCTTAGTTCTCCTCCCCAATCCCATCGGCATCTATTCCAAATCTCAAAATTCCCAAATTCTATATAAGCAACCCCTAAAACCCCCCTCTTGGGTTGCACAGACCACTTTCGCCCCTTTCGGAAACACATTAAATGGCCTGGCCGGGCCCGTGTGCGAAATACGCATCAGTCGGAAAGCGCACGTTAAATCTCCAAAGTAAGTAAGTAAGTAAATAAGTAAGCACTATCAGGTTTCGGAGTCCACATCGCACAACCAACCAAAAACACCCAATCTTACCGACTCCCAAACAACCAATCCATATTCACGGCCGAACTCATGGGCATGGCCTCAGCACAATCAGCAATCTAAAAAACACCAAAAAATCCTCATCCTAACCGACTCCCTCAGTGGACTACAAGCCCTCAAAAATAAAAACACGAAAAACCGCCCCAAACTTATAAATCAAATACTCAAAAGCTCAAACAACTTAACTTAGACAGGTAAACATATAGAGTTCATTTGGATCCCCGCCCACATAGGAATCTTTGGAAATGTAAATGCATATTAAGCAGCAAAATTATCCCTTAAACTCCCAGAAATAAGCTTAAACTTACCAAGCTCAAAATCAGAAATAAAAGTGTCACTAAACAAAAAATCAACAAAAAATGGCAAAATATATACCAAAACTCAAATAGCCAAATCAGGAAAGTACTAAAAAAAAACCTAACTAAACCAAAAATACTACACCCATCCAAAATAATCGACAGAATAATTACTTGACTACAAACAGGCCACACCAAACTAAATAATCACCGTTAAATAGCTAATCTACACACAAGAAGAAAAACCAGAACACGTACTCATTCACTGCACACACTACCAAACACAGCGAACAACACTACAGACCACCCTAAATCTTAAAACCGCACTTACACTAGAATCAATCCTAAATCCACAAAATAAATTAGAAAAATTCAAAGCCTTAGGCATATACCTAATTAAAACAGGACTAATTAGTCGCATTTAAACCCCAAATAAAATATTAAAACCAAAACTACCTAATCTAACAACCACCCAACACACACAGCTCCCTTAGTTCGTCCTTCAGGCACTCTTGGCATTCATTCCAAATCTCAAAATTTCAAAATTACTATATAAGCAACCCCTAAAGCCCCCCTCCTGGGTTGCACAAACTCACTTTTCCCCTTTTTGGAAACACATTAAATGGCCTGGCCGGGCCTGTGTGCGACATACGCTTGCAGTCGGAAAGCGCACGTTAAATCTCCAATATAATTAAGTAAGTAAGCACTATCCATCACTTGCTTGATAAAGGTGTTAGGATCTACACCGAAACGTCGCACAAATTGTAATAAAGAAGTTGTTCATCCACAGAACTTGTCTTAATACTGTCTGTATGTTGTTATATTGACCTGTCTGTATATTGCTATATTGACCTTCTGTCTGTATATTGCTATATTGACCTACTGTCTGTATGTTGCTATATTGACCTTCTGTCTGTATATTGCTATATTGACCTACTGTCTGTATGTTGCTATATTGACCTACTGTCTGTATGTTGCTATATTGACCTACTGTCTGTATATTGCTATATTGACCTACTGTCTGTATATTGCTATATTGACCTACTGTCTGTATATTGCTATATTGACCTACTGTCTGTATGTTGCTATATTGACCTACTGTCTGTATGTTGCTATATTGACCTACTGTCTGTATATTGCTATATCGACCTACTGTCTGTATGTTGCTTTATTGACCTACTGTCTGAATGTTGCTATATTGACCTGTCTGTATATTGCTATATTGACCTTCTGTCTGTATATTGCTACATTGACCTACTGTCTGTATGTTGCTTTATTGACCTACTGTCTGTATATTGCTATATTGACCTACTGTCTGTATATTGCTATATCGACCTACTGTCTGTACATTGCTATATTGACCTACTGTCTGTATATTGCTATATTGACTTACTGTCTGTATATTGCTATATTGACCTACTGTCTGTATGTTGCTATACTGACCTACTGTCTGTATGTTGCTATATTGACCTACTGTCTGTATGTTGCTTTATTGACCTACTGTCTGTATATTGCTATATTGACCTACTGTCTGTATGTTGCTATATTGACCTGTCTGTATATTGCTATATCGACCTACCGTCTGTATATTGCTATATTGACCTACTGTCTGTATGTTGCTATACTGACCTACTGTCTGTATGTTGCTATATTGACCTACTGTCTGTATGTTGCTATATTGACCTACTGTCTGTATGTTGCTATATTGACCTACTGTCTGTATGTTGCTATACTGACCTACTGTCTGTATGTTGCTTTATTGACCTACTGTCTGTATGTTGCTATATTGACCTACTGTCTGTATATTGCTATGTTGAACTACTGTAGTATGTTGGTATTTACCGTGATGAGCTTCCCCCTCTGCATGGCAAGGTCAAGGAGCTCGTCCTTCTCCCGGGACAGCTGGGCGATCTTACAGCTGGCCTCGGAACTGGCGGACTGCTTGCTGTCAATCTGCAGCTGGAGCTTGTGTGTGGCTCCTGAACCAAAAACACTTGTTAGAAGTTAGGATGGGAGAATGTGTACAGTTCTATCTCGCCCATGAGATTGAAATTAACAACCAATCAAAATCATGCCTCATCTGAACGAGAGTTCGGCATAGATCTACATAGAAATTCACAGCCAGATCTGAGTGAACCCTTAATGTAATTAAACGAATCACAAATTTATTATAAATGATATTTTAGCTGTTTAAGATGTTTCACAGAATTCTAAGACAGCTGAGGGAAGTCCTTACGCTACAAGACGTTCCAATAATAACGATAACGATACTGCCATAACACTGCCAGAGAATGCTGAATACATCTGTCACCGTAGGTGTTGAACTTATAGGGAGGTACTAAAAGGAAGAACTTGTCAGCTGAACGAAGACTTCTCAAAGATTGATACACAGTAGTGAGAGTTTGAAGATATGGAAGGGGTTCTATTACTACTGCTGCTGCTGCTGCTGCTGCTGCTACTACTACTACTACTACTACTACTACTACTACTACTACTACTACTACTACTACTACTACTACTACTACTACTATACAACAATAATAATAAGACACTTGCTGACATGCAAGAGATATTCCCCAAACACATGCCTGGCTCGTACCTTTCAACCTCTCCTCCGTATCCTGTAGTTTGTGTTTTAGTGCGGACATCTCGCTGCGGTGTGTATCATGCATATTCTGATTCTCAGACTTGTACATTTCTTCTTTCTGCTTAAATTCGGACTGCATTTGCCTGAAATGTTATTATGCCAATCAGGAAGTGACAGAGCAAAACTGGCATTGATTTTTACTCATATGACATTAAACATGTTCAAGGTAATAAAACTGATTTGAATTTGTTCACTGACAGAGAGGGAAATATTTGTTCACACTAAATGTATCTTCAACGTTAGGTGAAAAAGGTAACCTAACTTCAATAATTAACAGACCTGTGAAGATCCGGGGTAGAATAGTTCTTCAGCAACCCATGCTTAACATAAAAGGTGACTATGCTTGTCGTAAGAGGCGACAAACGGGATTGGGTGATCAGACTCGATGACGCGGTTGATGCATGTAATCGTATCCCAATTGCTTAGATCGATGCTCATGAGGTCAATCACTGGACTGTCCGGTCCAGACTCGATTATTTACAGACATAAAGCTGGAGTATTGCTGACTGTGGGATTAAACAACAAACAAACAATAATTAACAAAACTAGACACCACTGGTCAGGGTAAGAAACTAACAGTTTTTGTCCAGCTTGGTAAGGACTACAGGACTAGTGCCAATTTCTAATGCTGCTGGTTTGTACTAACACATCTTGGCCGTGTTAAAGTGCAACGCTGCATCAAAGCCCTTCATGTGTCCACTGTTCCTGCCTCCCATTTATGTTGTGTACAGACAGATTCTATGTGCGATCTTTTTCAATTAATCTCAATTGGGGATTGCCTAGAGCTAATCACGCAATGTCTTCACAACTGGGCTGGATTTTACTTTCTCCATGCCAAACACTAAATAGAAGCTGAATTTAAATAGAAGTTGAAAATTTACAATAAATTGTATACAGTGGTCCCTCGCTACAACGCTACCAATGGGGTCCAAATAATTGGTGGGCGTTATAGACGATGAGCCGTTTAACCGAGGCGGAGGCGGGGGAGCGCGCTCGGCCAATCTCACAATCTTCGCCTTGTCTCGCACATTGCAATGATACAAGTTGTTTACCGTTCATAGTGTAAAAATATATATCCATTATGTTTTCGACGTTTGTTATTATTTACAAGCCCTAACTGTCACATTAATAGAGGTTATCACGCGAGTGTGTTTGGGGATGGTAAATATCCTGCATTAGGAATAAACATTGTATTTAGCGAGCCTTGGCGAGCTAAATACATAGTGTTTATTCCTAATACAGGATATTTACCATCCCCAAACACACAAGCGTGATAACCTCTTTATCATATAATGTCATGCTTTAATTCTGTGCTTTAAAATCGCTATCCCTCTCTCACAAACATTACCGAAACATTGCAAGTTTTCCTGGAATGCGCACATTAATATTTATCACGTCAACGGGGTAAGTGATGTGTCAGTCGGACAGTGACAGTAGCCAATATAGTTCCAACTGAAATCTCTTTCTTATACAGTGGCGAAGCAACATATACGCAAAACAACAGTTGTTTTTAATTGTCTTTCGCGGCAATCCATCGGTCTGTCCGCTAGAGTAACTGCCCTTTGTCAAAGGGAAGCTACTCTAACCCTAGTCTATGAGACGTCACGGGCACGGTCAGACGTTGTTGACAGTCGGTCTGTCCTGTCATAACAGTCAGATGTACACACAGCGACAAAACCAAATAAGGTAACAATTCAAACATATTTCGGCCAAATCCAACTATTTTAATTTGTGGAGAAGGTTTCAAGTCGCAGAGGTCTACAAGCACAGATATTGCTACTGATCCCGCTTGGCTAGGCCTCGCGCCCTCGCAAAACTGTTTCGAAATTATACCTCCAAAGTAGCCAAAACTTATAAAATGCCTTAGCTACGTCACAGTTAGACACTGATTTTCAGTATATTAGACTGTTCTTTTGATAATGATAGCAATTATCCCTGTTGTTTATCCAGATTCCCGATGGTTAATTTTGACTCGATCGCCGAATGACGAGGACGACGCCATGTTTGTTTATAAACAGTGAAAGTAGTCCTACTTGACCTTTGATATTTGCATCTCTATCCGCATATGACCCCAACGGATATCGTTTTTATCCGTTGGCTTTATCCTGCCGAGAAACCTACCCATTATATGATAAAATGTGATCCCTCACATTATATTTATATACTTATCCTATCTCACACTATGCATTTGTCCCTCTTTCGATCCCAGTGTGGAAACGCCCAAGAACAAAGTTTCCAGCTGCAAAGAAACATTTCACCCAAACACATCCCAGCATCACCATGGTCACAACCTTAACAAATGAGTCACACACTGTAATCCTGTGCATAGCGAACTTTGACGACCTGATCACCTGCCATAACCTGCCACATCATTCTCTTTCTTACAGGACAGGCTTGTGTAACTGTGATGCGGGGATGGCCGGATGGGCATATGGCATGTGAAATAGGATAAGTATATTAATATAAAATTTGTTGTAAAATTTTAAAACTTATCCTATCTCACACTATGCATTTTATCCCACGGATACCCTGTATTAGACTACAACCGTGAGATGTACCCGAGGAAGCTGGTGCTGAACAATGCTTCAACCACATGACCGTTTCACAGTTCAGTGTTCAACGACAAGACTTCGTGAATGGGTAAACACTAGAAATACCCTCAAAATTAGTAGGACTTATAAACCTACTGGCTGTTTGTGTAACTCGATATGGAGTTTTTAAAATTGTGGTAACACCTCGCAGGAGGTATTACAACAATTGTAACACCTCGCAGGAGGGCTTACAATCATTGTAAACCCTTGATATAACAAAAACTATGAACAGCCTACGAGACGCACATGCAGATTTCGTGCCATTGCGAGACGCACGTGCAGATTTCGCACCCTTGCGACACCCACATGCTGAGGTCACCGGTTCCATTGAACCGAGTTCACGACTGCAGGCGATATTTCATCTCCAATACAGCTTATACATTTGAGAGTTTTTATTACAGTTATTTAATTAAAAACTTGTCTATGCGATGAGTCGGTTTATAAGTTGGACAAACCATGTCTCCTCGAGATTACAAACCCTCATGTGAGGGTTTACAATCTCTAATAATCCCTCGGAGACATGGTTTCTCCTACACATAAACCTCATGACATCAGGCAGTACATGTGTTATGTGTCTTCATGTAGCACATCGTTTCAAGAACGACTGCATAGCTTTGAAGTAGGAAGCCTATTCAGCTACGACTTGTAACCAATTTGGATGGGGTCTCCAATCAATTAGTTCTACAAGACGGACCACACATGCTATCTCCTACGGACAATAGGGTGAGCCAGCTTGGCATCTCTTTTGACGCTTTGTCAAAGCTGTCAATCATGCCCGCAGGATTGAAGCAAGCCATAGGTGAAGTGAGGTGAAATGGGGTTTAATGTCTCGTCCAAGATTATTACACTTACATAGCGATGTGATTCATGTGTGTGTGTATGGCTGATTGTACCAGTTCAGACTGATGCCGATTCATAGTTCTAGCCCACTGAGATACCGTGCGCAGTTTAACATGAATACCCCATTCAGACACAGTTTACTGACTCTGAGCCAACCAGTCCTTGCTTTAGCCCCTTAATGCCGAGCGTCAGACAGGGTAACAACAAGTACCATCTTTTAACATCTTAAGGTATAACACAGACCTTCCATTCCCAGGGTGGACACTCTTAACACTAGACCACGGAGGCGGTCTCTCTCAAACCAGAGTCTGGTGAGTCAATAGCATGGATTTCACTAACTGTGGACGCGAAGAGGAAAACCTCCTTCAGGGGGCCATCCTCAAAATCCTTCTCTTCTAGGGGTTCATAGATTTCCAAAGTTAGATGTGGTAAAATGACATTATGGTCCTAAGAAGGTGGACGAAAATGGGACGATTGGTCTGCAAGTTTGTGAGGGGCCTGCAGCTCCGAAACCATAGATCCCCGAGTCTGTAGTACAGTAGCACACGGATATAACGAACACGGATATAGCGAACAAATGGATACAACGAACTGTTAAAAAATCCCCGATTTATCTCCTATATAATATCCTATAAAATTTACGTATATAACAAACTCTCAGTTTAGACACGAAAATTGAGAATTATTAATGCTGTTGATGCTGGCATAAAAACCAAGAAAGACATTGCAATGAATTTAATGTTATTAAATGAATGTTATGAATTGTTATCAATTGAATGATCACTGCAATCACAGAAGTGATTCAAGTTAAGTACTGAGTGTAGCGATATACTACATTTGCTTACATGTCGATGTCAGGCATGCCTAGCTTGGTGTAGACAGCATCGGAGGTTCAGAAGACAAGACTGGGTTTACAGATGAGTCCCGGTTTCATCTGGACAGCTGTGATGGTCATGCAAGGGTCTACACATTTAAGTAACGCTTGCTTTACTCACATCGTCAATTTTGGGGTTGAAGTGTAGTGGTATGGGCTGGCATCACAACTCATGAGAGAACACAACTCATCACTATTAATGGCAATTTAAGTGGCATACGCTCCCGGGACGATATCTTCCAAGATTGTGTTCTATATATGTGCTAATGCAGGGATATAACGTCATGTTGTAGCAGGATAATGCCTGCTCACACGTTGCAGACTTTTTAAGGCAACATAACATTACTGTACTTCCATTTGCCAGCTGTTTTTCGAGACCTCTCCCACAGGACATGCCTGGAATGAGATGGAACGACACCTACGACAGGACCAGAACCAGCCGGTAATGCTAACTCGGTTGGGCTAATGTTTGAAACTTCTAGAATCTGGAACAACATCCAGGCTGTTTTCAATCATCTGGTGTCTTCAATGTGCCGTCACTGGATCGCCTGTATCAACGAAAATGGTGGTCACACCCGATACTGACATTGTTTGTTGTTTATGCCGCACTCCGCAATATTCAAGCTATATGATGGTGGTTTGACAATAATCAAGTGTGGACCCAACAATCCTGTGATTGACATCATGAGCATCGATCAACGCAATTGGGATACGATGATATCAACCAAGTCAGCGAGCCTTACCACCCAATCCCGTTAGTCGCCTCTTACGACAAGCATAGTCGCCTTTTACGTGTGTCTGAGTCGGAGTGCGTAACTGTCGGGTTAACAGGTCTAAATAGCACCGATTTAATCGGTTCAGATCATTAGTGTCGGATAAAGCCGATCATCAGATTAACGAGACTTGACTGTACATGATGCATGTAGGTGTTATGTATGATGGAGACTTACCTGCATCTCTGTTCTATAACAGTGTATTGTGACTTTATCTCTGAACATTTCTTATCAAGCTCTTCTATCTGTTGATCTCTCTCTGCAATAGCTTGTGAGAACAGTTTAGCATTGTCTTCTCTCAATTTGGCATTCTCAGCTCTCAGCCCTTGATTGACTCTCTTGTACTCATCTTTGTACTTGATCATTTCCTCATGATTTGATGCCAAGTCATTAAACCTGGAATCTAAAATATTGAATTTACGTATCTCATGCTGCAACTGCTCATTGGCATTGTCTCGAAATTCCATCAATTCTTTATTTATAGCATCAAGAGTTTGAGTCCGAATCACAGCCTCGTCAGCTCGCTGTTTGAGGATCATAATAAGCTGGGACTGTTCATCAATGCGAGATCTCAGCATCCCAGCTTCTGTTTTATCATCTTCTGACAGTGCACGGAGCTTGGATAGAGTCTGCTCCATATCAGTCATGTCCTGAAATTACAAAACTCTCAACATCATCATGATTAGGCTTTATGTTTTGGCTTACTGTTTTATGTGTGAAAAGTCCTCGTCAGAAGGTGGGAAACAATAAAACAAAAAACATATTTCAGATTTATTATTGTTTGTTTTTCAAAAATTACCTACTGAAAAGGACTATGTTGATCAATGTAACTTCAGCTCGTTTGTCATCAGTTTAACCCATTATGTATGTTCATTTTCTTGTGGAGAACAAGCAGCTTTAGATTTGGCAATAACAAATATAGTGTTTCTCAGGTTTTATTAGTTTCCACTCTTTGTTGAATTAGGATCAGCAGAATCAGTAAAACCAATTAAACACAATAAGACAAAATCATGAATATCCCCTGCCACAACGTATCTAGTTCTGATTACAAACGTGATGTCAGAAATCCCAAACAGAGAATGAACTGACAGACCGCTAATCTGATGATTGGTGCAGGCAAATACATGAATTCAACAAGGAAAGTTTGGGACATGCAAAAGTGAATGTCCTTCGCCGCCTCTTCCGACAAGCATGGGTTGCTGAAGACCAATTTTAACCAGTATCCTCATGAGGCCACTGAGGGAGGTATGTTATTTCTGTTGAAAATGTATTTACACAAATAACACACAATTCATCAAAATCAAAAGATGATTTTTGCTCTTACACTAATTTAGACAAAAATAAATTAATAAATATAAATTCTTTTTGAAAATATTATATTATATTTAAATTGCTACTTCAAAATCTTCAGTAGAAGATTTAAATAATTCCTGGACTTATTGATATTTCCGTAACACGATTGTAATCACTGATGATAAATTGACATGATCAGCTGATGAACATGCCACTACCTTCTTGCTATCCCTGACAACTTGATGCACATTCCTTGACGATTGTTGATTGACGGACGACATCTTTAACCGTCTATCGGCTTCACCCTATCTTGAAGTGGTATGGTTCAAAGATAAGTATTAGTGAAGTTAAAACTTTCTCAAACGCTCTGTTGCGAACCAAAACAATTTAGCCGGAAGCGGAAGCAAAACAAATCGGAACAAGAGTGACCTCCCCTTTGTAGGAGAAGCAAGTTTTTGATGTTGTTCATAACACGATGTTTGTGGCGTTTATATCAATGCTCTCAACCGGAAAGTAATTGACAGGTACGTTTCTTTCGAAATGAACAAGTAGAAATGCTTGAAAACTTTGCTGATAGCTCATGTGGCTGAAAAACCTACAGTGGTGGTCTGTCAGTTGAATATGTTTCATACTTGTGGAATAGTGTTTACAAACAGAAATAATCTACAAACGTTTTTAGACCTGAGACCTTATATTACCATTTTCTTTCATTATTGTCCGTTGTGCCCACTGCCTATTTACTGCTATTATTACGTTTTGTAATTTTCTCATGTTTAGATATGTTTTCTGCTTCAGCCACAGCAGACATGAGCAGCACCAAGTTTGACGTATTGTGGTCTCCGAGTGCGGCTGACCAGTTTATAAAGTACGGAACCTCTCTCGATCTCTACCAGGTGGAGAAGCGGCGCCCTGGACACACCTACAGAGGTGGGGAACCTTACACCTCAGTCAGTATACTGTGTCTGACTGGGGTATATCTGTTAAGCTGGTACCTCGGTATCTCAACATGCAAACTTGGATTTCCAAAAATCATATTTATTCCACTTAAGTGAGGGTCTGGTCTGTGGATCCATTAACTGAATGGTAAATTAAAAAATTAAAATGCCTATGTGTCTTATGTGTATGTTTTGTGTGTCAATCATTGTTGGTGCATACAGGTACAGCAATCTCTGATGACTTCTGTGCCGTCCATGTGGCAACCAACTCAGAAATCAACCTCATTAAGGTAAGATATGTGTACTGTAGCGTTATTGCTGATCAGGGCAAAAACCCAGTCTAGGCTAGTTAGAGTTAGCTCCCCTATGTTTGCGTATTAAGTCATGAGAGGACGTCATGATTTGTGTGGGGACTCGAGTGGATGCCATGCTGGCTGTCGCATGTAACTCCGGTAAATAAATCGTACTCAAACGAACCATTGTCTTAGTGTCAACGTAACACAACATGTACATGTACAGTGTACGAGATGTGACTGTATACCTCTACAATGTAACAATGTGTGTACATCTACAACGCAAGATATGTGTCTTTTTACCTCTACAGTGTAAGAGATGCGTCTGTGTACTTTTATAGAAGAGACCTCTGTGGTCTAGTCGCAGAGCATCTACCCAGAAAGTGGAAGGTTGGGGGTTCGATATCTGGCCATGTCATACCAAAAGATATTAAGAGATGGTACCTGTTGTTACCCTACCTGGCGCTTGGCATTAGGGGACTAAGAAAAGGACTAGTCGGTATACTGTGTCTGAGTGTATGAGTCTAAGCTAGCACTATAAAATCGGCATTAGTTTGGACTAGTACAAGCAGCCACACACAGATACAAATGTGCATGGACATCGGTATATAAGTGCAATAATCTTGAACGTGACCTTAAACCCATTACACCTCACCTCACTTCAATAGAAGAAGAAGGAGTGAAACCAAACTGGTCAAAATCTCATTTATTGTGGGTTTATTCATTTATTCCCAGACTTCACCAATTGTATTACGGTCACATCTTTGTAATCTCTTTGTAAAATGCACATTATAATCTGTTTTCAATAGACTTTCATTTGTTCTGTTGATACAAAATGTTCCTGTATTTTGTTCAGTGTGTAGCATGGTACCCACGACCGGAACCACGGAACCTGCTGGCGGTGGGCCACACAAACGGCAAAGTCGTCCTTACAAGGTGGGTCCATCGGGACAACACCTCCCAACACTGATGGTTGCTAAAATCACAATCTTCAAAAATAAATTGTTTGAAAGTTTATTTAAGGTGAAAATAACATTTATGGTTCTGTATTACAAATCAAGAAAAATTCCACTAATGAGGAAGTAAATTGTTTGTTTGTTTGTTTATGTTTTGTGATGTATTTGGTATATATTGTTTAGTAAATCAAGTAAATGTTAACTTTTGAAGCACTCTGTATTTTCAGCTTTGGAAACAATGAAGATGAACTTATTGGAAAGGAATTTTGTAAGTATCAACTATCATTCATCGATATTGTTGTTCATGAAATCATTAAAATTTTCATCTCTTGTAACCATGGTAACACATTGTCCGCAACTAACATTTGTGAGTGGTGAACTGGCAATTAATTTTTACAAATACATCATGTAGGCAACTAGTTCCAATTAACTAGCAACCAATTCATGGTTTTCATGATGCATATGTAATTTATATCAATTTTAAATATACAGTCGAACACGGATATAACGATAGAGCGATCAAGTGGATACAGCGAACTGTCATAAAATTCCCGATTTATCTCCTATATATAATCATGAAAATATTACGTACATAACAAACTCTCTACAACGAACTAACGTATATAGCAAACTTATATCTGATCCCCAACAAGCCCATCTACCACTAATTAATAACGTGTATAGCGAACTGAGAAATCTCACTCAGTGTCAAGTGTCTCTGACAATTGGCTACGTGCAATCAGCGGCGAATCAACACAATCAGCGGTGACGACTCCACCTTGTTAAAGTTGCTTTATGTTAATCTTACCTGTACATGTAATTGGACTAATCTTGTCTGTGAAACATGGTGAATGCTATGAAATGATTATTGCTAATACGAGTCAATGCTGCAATTATGTGTATTGTGTTTTGTTTTATCCGAGCGAAAATGTATATATTGAACAATGTATATAACAAACTGATTTCTCCGGTCCCTTGTAGTTTGTTATATCCATGTTCTACTGTACAGTTAAACATATGTTTCATCTGCAGCCATGTTCCTATCTTCTATCATGGTTTTCCTTTCCATCGGACTGCCTCCGTGGTCTAGTGGTAGACCGTCCGCCCGGAGAGCGGAAGGTCCGGGGTTTGATCCCCAGCCGCGTCATACCAAAAGACCTTAAAAGATGGTACTTGTTGTTACCCTGTCTGGCACTTGGCATTAAGGGGCTAAAACAAGGACTGGTCGGCTCGGAGTCAGTATACTGTGTCTGAGTGGGGTATTCATGTTTAACTGCGGCATGGTATCTCAGTGTGCTAGCACTATAAATTGGCATCAGTCCGGACTAGTACAAGCAGCCACACACATACACGTGCATGCACGTCGCTATATAAGTGCAATAATCTTGGACGCGACGTTAAACCCCATTTCACCTCACCTTTCCTCCCCATAGGTTATCATGACATCACAGTCAAATTACATCACTTATCTCTCTGCCACTGAAGTTGGTTACCTGTACTTTTCACACTCAGGGCACTTGTTACTGTTTACAGACTGAAAACATAGGAAGAATGATTTTAGATGATGAATAGAATCTCACCTTTGTGCCTTTTGATATGAAATCCCTAAAAACTCATCAATAAGAGTGGACTGAGTATTTTACAGCTGTTGCTGTTCTTGTTGCAGTACACAACGCCAAACACAGTCGGCAGTGCAGCTACTTGGCATGGAACCCTGAGGAAACACATCTTGTAGGTTGCCTTGGTTACTTACAGTCTGTGATCCATGAAGATCTGGTTAGAATAGATCTTCATGCTTGCCGTATAAAGGCGACTATGCTTGTCGTAAGAGGCGACTAACAGGATCGGGTGGTCAGGCTTGCTGACTTGGTTGATGCATGTCATCGTATCCCAATTGCCTTGATCGATGCTCATGATGTCAATCACGAGATTGTCTGTCCAGACTCGATTATTTACAAATTTCCGTCCTATAGCTGGAATATTACTGAATGCGGCGTTAAACAACAAACAAACAAACAAACTAACAGTCGGTCATCCTTAATTGTTAATCAGAGACAAATGGAGATTAAGGATCTGTTTTGGAAACTGTTATTTATTATAAATAATAAAAAGGAATTATCATAAATAAGAAAATATAATTATTTTGTTTCTTGTCATGAATGAGAATTTCACTGTAAATATCCAGGGAAAATTCTCAAGCTCTGTATTGTTTATTTGCTCGTGTAACTGAATTAATGATCTTACACAATCTCGTATCATATTGGTTGTAGTTCCGAGGTATATTCATGTTTATCAAAACCTCAACATATTTCTCACCATACCTGTGCTCGTTGGTTTCACCAAAGTGGTTAACGTCTTAGCATGCTTAGACTTGCATTACCTTGCGTTTTTCACCCACATCAAGCTGACACACTGTGGTGCCGCCTCCATGGTCTTGTGGTAGAGTGTCCGCCCGGAGAGCGGAAGGTCCGGGGTTCGATCCCCGGCCGCGTCATACCAAAAGACGTTAAAAGATGGTACTTGTTGTTACTCTGTCTGGCACTCGACATTAAGGGGCTAAAACAAGGACTGGTCGGCTCGGAGTCAGTATACTGTGTCTGAGTTGGGTATTCATGTTAAGCTGCGGCATGGTATCTCAGTGAGCTAGCACTATAAATCGGCATCAGTCCGGACTAGTACAAGCAGCCACACACACACACATGCATGCACGTCGCTATATAAGTGCAATAATCTTGGACGCGACGTTAAACCCAATTGCACCTCACCTCACCTGACACACTGTGATATAACTGGAATACTGTTCAAAGCAGCATTAAACCCAATTGACTGACTCACTTCAACATATTTTCAGCTGGCTGAAGGGTTCAGTGAGCGTTACCGCAATGACCCATGTATTGTCATCTGGGATGTCTTTGCATCAGCTGGTACAGACATGTCAACTTCCACGGAGAGGTCTCGTATCAGCACCAACAGCGAGTGGGGGGTCGTATCAAAACCACTTTTTGAAATAGGTAGGTATCAGTTTTGAGGGCTGTACTGGGGCTAGGACAGGTCATACACAGCTCTGTGTCTTGATAACACTGGGGAAGAACTTGAATCAATGGTAGTGTCTTGATAACACTGGGGAAGAACTTGGATCCATGGTAGTGTCTTGATAACACTGGGGTAGAACTTGGATCCATGGTAGTGTCTTGATAACACTGGGGTAGAACTTGGATCCATGGTAGTGTCTGGATAACACTGGGGTAGAACTTAGATTCATGGTAGTGTCTTGATAACACTGGGGTAGAACTTGGATCCATGGTAGTGTCTTGATAACACTGGGGAAGAACTTGGATCCATGGTAGTGTCTTGATAACACTGGGGAAGAACTTGGATCCATGGTAGTGTCTTGATAACACTGGGGTAGAACTTGGATCCATGGTAGTGTCTTGATAACACTGGGGTAGAACTTGGATCCATGGTAGTGTCTTGATAACACTGGGGAAGAACTTGGATCCATGGTAGTGTCTTGATAACACTGGGGAAGAACTTGGATCCATGGTAGTGTCTTGATAACACTGGGGTAGAACTTGGATCCATGGTAGTGTCTTGATAACACTGGGGTAGAACTTGGATCCAGGGTAGTCCTGTTGCATATTTGTATGTACGGTAGGTCATGCTAAGACATGTAAAGAATATGAACAGGTTGTTGCGGCAAGAAACACAGAATGATACTCTCACCAAAAGTTTTTTGTTTTCACAAAAACAAATGTCCTTGTAACATTGCAGCGTTAGTGTTAGCAAAATACATACGTTGTAGGGTTGAATGATGATGAGGTTCAGAAAAGCCACAAAGAGAAACAAAACACTTGCTAAGTTTTCAACACAAACCTGAACCATTCAAAGTATACAAAAACCCAAAAATTCAAATTCCGAGTTGCATAATAATAATTTCTTAAGTCGAATGTGTTCTGTTTAGATCATTTGTACAAAAAGACATTAGGTAAGGAAACAAAAGTCACATCTGCGAACCCTCTTGCAAACATGGAGACCTTCTGCCTTACACCATGTACTCCTGATCATGTGATCAAAAGCCAGGATGTAGATTTAATATTAAAGCTGCAAAAGTTTAGGCAACTGGCTGGGTTTGAACCCTGAACCTCAGTATTTCCAAATGCTTAAATTATCAGTCCAAGTGATTTACTCATTAAACCAAGGACAACATGTGATGTAGATATTTTAACATATTATAAATAACTGATACTTTTAATAATTTGAAACGTTAGACTAAGTGTTCTGTGCATACACAGGTTCTAAACATATTTAAAACTACACGGGTTAAATATGCCCTAGTTTGTCAATTTTCCAAGCACCTAAGCTGCTTGTGAAAACACATTTCAGTACTTCTATATTTGATACCCTGAATAGACTTGAATACAAGACACATTTTATGGATAATAACTTCTTATATTTTTTGTCACGACGTTTCAGAGCTAAAAAATGAAGGGGCAAGAAGTAGCCCTGAAACGTTGTGACAAAAAATAAAAGAAGTTACTTTCCATAAAATGTGTCATGTATTAATGCTCTCGCAACTTCTAAATGGCTGTCAAAGATTTCACTGAACATACTCATCTTGTGTTTTCTTCAGGATCAGGGAGTGGAGACACAAGCACGTCATTTTGTTGGTTTGTCAGTGAATCAAAGACCTTCGTGACCGGGGTCAACAATAGACACATGCGAGTCTACGATCTGAGAGGTGGGTACGCTCTTTTGTAGTTGTATACAGGGATGTGGAATCTCCGCGGAAACTCGGAAAATCGTGTTTTTAAAAAAAGTAGTTCTTGGAAAAAATCATCTTCCGCGTAGAAATATAATCAATGATTTGGAAAAGAAACACGCCGAAAAATATGATCGAAAACCGGACAACCTTCGCGGATTGTCCTGTTTTCGATCAGAGCTTTCAGCAGCATAGGTTTTCGGACATCATACGTTTTCTATCACGAATACTTGCACAATGACGTGGGGTGTTGTGTCACACAGAAATTGTAAATACTCAGAGTCAGATGATAGCTTGTTTTTAAGATAATCTTGTCTTTTAGCCAAGTATATGATACTATTATTTCTGGCCATTTATATCAGTATCGTTTTGTTTTGTGAAGGAGTTTTTATTCCACATTAGGATTTCTCAGTAAATAGCATCCTATCACATGAAGGTCGTACCCAGCCCCCTATTACCCGACCCTACCCAGGTACCCAGCCCCCTACTACCTGACCCTACCCAGGTACCCAGCCCCCTATTACCCGACCCTACCCAGGTACTCAGCCCCCTACTACCCGACCCTACCCGGGTACTCAGCCCTCTACTACCCGACCCAGCCCCCAACTACCCGACCCTACCCAGGTACCCAGTCCCCTATTACCCGACCCTACCCGGGTACCCAGCCCCCTACTGCCCGACCCTACCCAGGTACTCAGCCCCCTACTACCTGAACCTACCCGGGTACTCCGCCCCCTATTACCCGACCCTACCCGGGTACCCAGCCCCCTATTATCTGACCGTACCCGGGTACCCAGCCCCCTATTACCAGACCCTACCCGGGTACCCACTGTAGGTCTCAAGAGTTGGGAACAAAATGTCTGATGGGGAATTGTTTTACCGCAGTCCTGGCAAAAATCATCTAAAATAGTCATAAGAAACGCTGGCTAAACATCCACATGTTAATCCTCAGATTTAACGAGACCTCACCTTCAGAATCAACACAAGGGTGTCCTCGGGCTGTGTGTGGACCCGCTGTCCGATAAACAGTTGGCATCGTTTGGGGAAGTAAGTTGAACACAGTGTTTGTTTACTTGCAAGGTTAGTTGATGTTGTTTAGATTTTGGTGATACTACATTCTAGGACAGATTCTTCATGTTACCATGGTAACAGGGCCAAGATGAAGATGTAGTGATTTTTGAAAAAAATATTTTTCAAGTTACCTTGGCAACAACTGTGACATGGGCTGGAAATAGTGGTTGTGCTCGTTTTCGGAGCAGATCTTAAAAACATTACAATATACATGATATAAAGATTTTGAATTTGTAAGTCAACCCTGTGTTCATTGTTATGAACTTCTACAAATAAGAGGACAAAGTCATTAATATCCTTCACAACGGTAAATACTTGTTGTGAATAAATATTTGAAACTTGTTGGCATGGAAACTCAAAAAATATTTATTTAAAAAATCCCAAACCATCAAAAGGCACCAGTTCACAACCCGACTTATGTATATGCCCAGTTTGGTAAAGAAATATTCTTTCAACGAAACGTTTCACTTGCATATTGTCCATCAATCATGACCGCTGTCTCTTGATCATTGATTCATTCCCAGCTCTAAAGTAATTATCTAAACATACAGAACACTACACCACTTCATTACTTTACAGGACCCTCATATTGCCTGCAAGGACCCTTAAAAGTAATTATTGGGGGTTCCCTGGACCCCCACTTTTGTAAGTCCAGGTATAGCCCTGGCTGGGTCCAAATTAGGGCTGGGATGGGTCCAGATTCACTACCCAGGTACCCAACTGCCTACCTGGATACCCACTGAGTGAGTGAGTGAGTGAGTTGGGTTTAACGCCGCTTTTAACAGTATTCCAGTTATATCGCAGTGTGTCAGCTTAATGTGGGAGGAAAGCCCGAAAAGATACTTGCACCAGTACAAAACACAGCATTAAAAGATAAAGAAACTGAAATCCATAATTCATCTACAGCTTCTAAAGTCATACATGGTTTCTTAATTTCGGGTACTTCAGTAAATAAAAACATGTCTTTAACATTGATTATTGTAAAAATATATTTATAGATCAGGACATGTTTAGCCTTGATTGTGTCCATGTCAGGGCAAGAGAGTATGTATCATGCCCATGGCTGGCTCAAATTGTATTTTTTTATTCTGATATTTGATATTTCTATGACACGCACTAGGTTCATATTCTCCTTGTTATATATTTAGTACAGAATTACTTTGTCTTCTTGTTTTCAGAATCAGGTTTCTGTATGGGATCTTCGAAGCTTTGAGAAACCTGTATCCTTTCATGGCCTTCCACTCTGTCTGGCATATAGATATACTACTTAAAAGAGGTTAAGGAACACCCAATTTTTTCATATGACTGTAGTTAATCTTTTACGGCATAGCAGCCATTTGGGAGTGGGCAGGGTTTTAGGCAATGCAAAATGTGCGTCCAGTACGCTCAAATGTAGAGAACCCAAAAAAATATGCTGCATCCCAAAGGATGCACAATAATATACATTATACCTACAGCACATCAATAGCAGTTATGGGTGTCTGTTATTTCGTCCATCAGTCATGACCACTGTCTCTTGATCATTGATTCAATTATATACATTGTACCTACAGCGCATCAATAGCATTATGGGTGTCTTATATATTGTCCATCAATCATGACCGCTGTCTCTTGATCATTGATTCATGCCAAGCTCTAAAGTAATTATCTAAACATACAGAACACTACACCACTTCATTACTTTACAGGGCCCTCATATTGCCTGCAAGGACCCTTCAAAGTAATTATTGGGGGTTCCCTGGACCCCCACTTTTGTAAGTCCAGGTAAAGCCATGGTTGGGTTCAAATTAGGGCTGGGATGTGTCCAAATTCACTACCCAGGTACCCAACTGCCTACCTGGATACCCACTGAGTGAGTGAGTGAGTGAGTGAGTGAGTGAGTTGGGTTTAATGCCGCTTTTAACAGTATTCCAGTTATATCGCAGTGTGTCAGCTTAATGTGGGAGGAAAGCCCGCAGTGATGCAGGTCTCAGACGTTTACCACTTCGATGAAACCCACGAGCACGGGTATGGTGCTGACAAACCTAGAAACAAAATTGGGGCGACCCGGGATTCGAACCCACAATCATAGGTTGCTGGCATGCCCAAGGGACGCAACTCTGTACAGCGAATCGTGGCGCCTCAGACGACTGGGCCACCTGTGCCCCCACTGTTGGCCTGAAGAGTTGGGTACTAAGTGTCAGAATGGGAATTGTTTGACTGGAGCCCTGGCCAAAGTATTTAGATACACATATAAAACAATTTGGTCATGCCTACACTGAAGTTGACTGAAGCTTTATCTTTATTCAAACACATAAAAGTCAGAAAGAAATGCAAACATTAGTGACCTGTAGTGTAACCATGTAGTTATAGTGAATTTTTGTCATTAAACAATATATCATGTGATTAAACACAGGTCAAGGTAGTCATGGGTAATTGGTTCCTACTCAGTACCCACTGACCAGAGTGTCAAGTTACCATACTAGCCCTAATACAAACCCGTGAAGTATTGACCAGAAATGAACGCTACAACCACTGTCACAGTACAATGACGTTTGTCAATTTGTTCCTGGAATTTATCTAAAAGCAGCCTAATCCTTCACTCACTATTGTCTGGAAATAGGTGTTGGGAATATTTTGGATCTTTGTGTTGAAAGGGAGATAAGTGTGGTAGGTTTGATGGAGACAACCACTAGAAACAGAAACTTGTGTCAGTTGTTGTATTCTGCATGTTGTTGGTAACTTGTGAGCAGCAAGTTGTACACCACAGATACTGCATTAGAGTTCCTTAACAGCTGAAGGTTCTGACTCTCCCAGAGAACAAGTCGGTCGTCAAAATCAGCTGGTGCCCAACCAGGTCAGTAGATCAGAGTCTCCCATGAAGAGATCCGCGTCAGTTGAGGATCAATAATGCCATTTCCTGGAACTAAGAATCTGTAAAGATAAACGTGTATGGGTTCTTCTGTTATACTGTTTGAGAGAAATAAGAGACTTGAGGGCTTCTTAATACTTGAGGAATCTGTATAGAATTATTTGATGTGACAAGATGTCCAACTGTGTATGAGAAATGGAAAGTTTGTAGAGGGAGAGGTGGTCGTGGAAAAGTTTGTTGAGGGAGTGGTGGTAGAGGGAGAGGTGGTCATGTGAGAGGTTGACGAGGGAGAGGTGGTCATGTGAGAGGTTGTCGAGGGAGAGGTGGTCGTGGGAAAGTTTGTCGAGGGAGGGGTGGTAGAGGGAGAGGTGGTCGTGTGAGAGGTTGTCGAGGAAGAGGTGGTTGAGGGAGAGGTGGTCGTGGGAAAGTTTGCAGAGGGAGAGGTGGTAGAGGGAGAGGTGGTCATGTGAGAGGTGGTCGTGGGAAAGTTTGTAGAGGAAGAGGTGGTCGAGGGAGAGGTGGTCAAGGGAGAGGTTGTCGAGGGAGGGATGGTAGAGGGAAAGGTGGTCATGTGAGAGGTTGTCGAGGAAGAGGTGGTCGAGGGAGAGGTGGTCGTGGGAAAGTTTGTCGGGGGAGGGGTGGTTGTGTGAGAGGTGGTCGAGGGAGAGGTGGTTGTAAGAAAGGAGGTCATGGGAAAGTTTGTCAAGGGAGAGGTAGTCGAGGGAGAGGTGGTCGTGTGAGAGGTGGTAGAGGGAGAGGTGGTCGTGTGAGAGGTGGTAGAGGGAGAGGTGGTCGTGTGAGAGGTGGTCTAGGAGAGGTGATCGTGTGAGAGGTGGTAGAGGGAGAGGTGGTCGTGTGAGAGGTGGTCTAGGAGAGGTGATCGTGTGAGAGGTGGTAGAGGGAGAGGTGGTCGTGTGAGAGGTGGTAGAGGGAGAGGTGGTTGTAAGAAAGGAGGTCATGGGAAAGTTTGTCAAGGGAGAGGTAGTCGAGGGAGAGGTGGTCGTGTGAGAGGTGGTAGAGGGAGAGGTGGTCGTGTGAGAGGTGGTAGAGGGAGAGGTGGTCGTGTGAGAGGTGGTAGAGGGAGAGGTGGTCGTGTGAGAGGTGGTCTAGGAGAGGTGATCGTGTGAGAGGTGGTCTAGGGAGAGATGGTCAAAGGAGAGGTGGAAGAGGGAAAGGGGTGGTCGAGGGAGAGGTGGTAGAGGTAGAGGTGGTCTAGGGAGAGATGGTTGAGGGAGAGGTGGTCTAGGAGAGGTGATCGTGTGAGAGGTGGTCTAGGGAGAGGTGGTCGAGGGTAATGGTGTTGATGCTGTTGCAGGTCGGGGATGTTGTCGGTGCTGTGTAAGGACAACAATGTGGTCCAGCTGTACGACATCAGACACTCCGTGTTTGGTAAGTAGTAGAAGATGAGGAGAAATGAGATTGAACATCGCGTTCAACATGATTGCACTTACATAGCGAAGTGGATGTGTGTGTGTGCTTGTACTAGTCAGGACTGATGCCGGTTTTATAGTGCTAGCCCACTGAGATACCATACCACAGTTTAACATGAATACCTCACTCAGACACAGCATATTAACTCCGAGCCGGCCAGTCCATGTTTTAGCCCCTTAATGTTGAGCACAACAAGTACCATCTTTTAGCATATTTTGTATGACACGGCTTCGGATCAAACCACCATGCTATATAAGTGCAATAATCCTCAACATGTTAAACCCCATTTCACCCCACCTCACCCAACACACCTAATGGGGATCATCTGCCAACTCCAGCTGGTGACAACCTGGATATACACAGGGGACAGTTCCTTAGAGGGATCCTAGCACCACGACTCTCCTAGGTCTGTTATAAGGGTAACGCTATTTTTCAGGGCATTATCATTTGCCCGAGGGCTTCTGCAAATGATAATGCCCTGAAAAATAGCGTTACCCTTATAACATAGTCGGGCAGTTAATGGAAGACCTCGGGCTTCTGCAAATGATAATGCCCTGAAAAATAGCGTTACCCTTATAACATAGACCTCGGTCTTTTCAACTGCCCTCCTTCGTCGGCAGTTAATGGAAGACCTCAGGCTTCTGCAAATGATAATGCCCTGAAAAATAGCGTTACCGTTATTATAGCTAAAATGGATGGAATTTTTATCAAATAAAAAGAAACAACAATATCGGGTTTGAAACATTTACTGCAATCAACACGAATGTCACTGACCCACTTTTACAAATATAGAAAAATCAGAACAAATCAGATGACGTCACTATTGAACGTTACGTCACCTATCCTATCCTATGACATCACCTAACAACGGGCGGGATAATGGCCCATCGTCAAGCAATATGAGGGCATTATCAAGTTACAGTGGCCCGCTCATTTCTGATAACATGCGGGTAGTTTACTGGTAATTCTATCCATTTTAGCTATAATATGGTATAGGAGTTGCGACAATAGTAGCGCTAACACATCTTCAGGTGCCCTGGTGAATAACTGTATGATAACAGTAAATATATAATGGTATTTTAATGTGTTGAAGTGAGGAGTTACGGGGAATATTCCCCCACTGGATGTTCCTCTACAAGCCATGTCCAGCAGAAGTTGAGGGCTTCCCCTAAACACAAATACAGTGCCAGGTTGTATGGCCCACAGAAGTGGCTGTGAGAAGGACACAAGTTGCCATTCAGCTTATCTCACCAATGAATATTGTCACAGTCGTATTCGCCAGTTTAATCGCCCTGCCACTGTTAGTTTCCCCCGACCAATATCTAGACCAATTTGTAAAAAATAATCTTTTTTAGCGGCCCTTAAAATGTATCTGACAGTTCATATTTTCTTAGGGCAATGGGGTAGCCCAGTGGTTAAAGTGTTCCCTCGTCACGCCAAAGACCCGGGTTCGATTCCCGACATGGGTACAATGTGTGAAGCCCATTTCTGGTGTCCCCCATCGAGATATTGCTAGAATATTGCTAAAAGTGGTGGAAGACAATACTCACAGATCACCCCATATTTTCTTGTGTATGTTTCAAAACCAATAAGCTCAGAAGGGGCGTATAATTGCCTGGGAACTATTATGAAAAAGGTTCTAGCTTCATCAACATTTACCCCTGCCCAGACTCTGAAATTTTTTGTTGTTGTGTATAGTTTTAACAAGCGGCCCCACCTGTTTTTTCCCTGTCATGTTTTCCTGTAAATAATCAAGTCTGGACATTGTGGGTAGCATGAACATCGTGAGTTTGGTTGGCTCTTGATGCGGTGCTAGGGACCTTGAGGACTGACTGTTGGACATCATCTGATACTTCTTGTTTCAGGAGCTGATGTTATGGAGCCAGCTCTGGTGGAGAGAAACATCCAACGTAAGTAGCAGCCTGTTCTCATATATAAGAGGGCGGTCGGGTAGCCTAGTGGTTAAAGCATTGGCTCGTCACGCCGAAGACCCGGGTTCGATTCCCAACATGGGTAAAATGTTGAAGCCCATTTCTGGTGTTCCCCGCCGTGATATTGCTGGAATATTGCTAAAAGCTGCGTAATACCATACTTACTCACTCACTCACTCACTCACTCACTCACTCACTCACTCACTCACTCACTCACTCACTCACTCACTCATATTTAAGAACCATCTTCTTTTTTTCTTTTGCGTTTATGGCAGTATAAATGTAAAAACTGGTGTTCTCACTGTCTAAATCTGCAATGACAAAAGGTAGGTTTTCGCATATCGACTTCAAGAAGAAATGGTTTGAGCATTATTAGGAGAGGCTGTCAGTAGGAGCTTCAGTTTCTTTTGATACAGTAAAACAGTTTCAAGGAGGAAGAGAATATATGGATGTCAACTTCTATGAGGAACACAACATTTCGGAGTATATGCTTACTCCATCATAATAAAGAAGTTGACATATTCTCTTCCTTATGTGAATCACTTCTAAAGACCCAGTTTCAAGGAGGCCTAAACTGTCCACGGACGATGGGCCAGCATTTTTGACAATTTGACTCGTTACTCTCAAGGTTGTTCAAGGCTCAGTGGTAAATGTCTGAGACCTGCATCACTTCGGGCTTTCCTCCCACATTAAGCTGACACGCCGCGATATAACTGGAATACTGTTAAAAGCGGCGTTAAACCCAACTCACTCACTCACTCACTGTAAACGATGTTGCAAAGATACTTTGTTTCTTCTTTTACCTAAAGTCTCTGGCTCCTATTGTTATTCAATCATTCTTAATATCTACCCATAAATCTACCTCATTTTCAAAACATTGTTTAGATACTGGGCCCTTGTGAATAGGTCCCCAGCAACCAATGCTGGGCGGTAGAGGTGACCAAATAGATCGGGTAGTCAGGCTCAGTGACTTGGTTGATGCATGTCATCGGACTCTGACGGCATGGATTGTCGTTCACAATATCGACCACTGGATTGACTGGTCCAAACTTGATTATTTACAGGCCACCGTCACATTGTTGGAATATTGCTGAGTGTGGCGTTAATCAACAAACAAACAAACAAACAAACAAATCAGATACTAGGATTCACCAAAGACAATCTGCCAGTGTTAAAGTTGTATATAAGGGGCGGTCGGGTAGCCTAGTGGTTAAAGTGTTCCCTCGTCACGCCGAAGACCTGGGTTCGATTCCCGACATGGGTACAATGTGTGAAGCCCATTTCTGGTGTCCCCCGCCGTGATATTGCTGGAATATTGCTAAAAGCTGCGTAAAACCATACTCACTCACTAAAGTTGTATATATATGCGGAACTTTGTCATGTGTCATGTGACGGTATGTTTGTTTTCCACAGCTTGTAAAGATTCTGTGATATCTTCCTTCACCTGGCATCCGACTCATGAGAACCGCCTCCTGTCTGTGACTTCATCTGGAGAGGTGCGGGACACTGTCATCTTGGAGAGAATTCCTATGGTGAGTGAGTGAGTGAGTGCGTGAGTGCGTGAGTGCGTGATCTTGGGTACACGGCTGTTGTGAAAGTATAGCAGACATACCGCGATGTGTGTGCACATCTAACTCTGTAGTGAAACCCACAGATTGGTGGAGTAGACAGACTAAATGTCATTATCTGTTTTGGTCTGGGATTCGTATACATCTGTATACAACTGGGTTTAGGCCGATTTTTATATACCCAGCTTGTTTTATATACCTTGGTTTATCATCCAATATGTATCCTGGCCCATCTGTATCCTGGTATAGGCCCATCTGTATATACCCGGGTATAGGCGCATCTGTACATACCCGGGTATAGGCCCATCTGTACATACCCGGGTATAGGCCCATCTGTATATACCCAGGTATAGGCCCATCTGTATATACCCGGATATAGGCCCCTCTGTATATATCTGGATAAAGGCCCTTCTGTATATTTACGGGTATAGGCCCTTCTGTATATATACGGGTATAGGTCCTTCTGTATATATCCGGGTATAGGCCCATGTGTATATACCAGGATACAGGCCCATCTGCAAGCACTAGCCCGTCTCCTATTTTGTATGATGGTGTAAATTTGGCCATGTCATGGTTCAAAGCCCAACCCTCAGGTTTGCATAAACATCTCACGTCTCACGTCTCACGTCTCACGTCTCAAGTGTCATGTCTCACCCAGCACCAAACTGACCAGAAACAGTTGTCATCAACTAGACAGTTAGCATCTCATTTGATTGTTATTCTTGTTTACTGGACTTCACACATGGTCCCTGTTTAGGAATTGAACCTGGGCCTTCCGCATGATGAGCATGTGGTTAGCCCAATACCCCACCACGCCTACATATCACAAGAAGAGGTACGAGTTATGCCAACTACTTAGTCAGACACATCAGCATGATTGATGTGACAGTCACTGTTATAGCAGAATGTTTGTTTGTTTGTTTGTTCGTTGTTTAATGCCGCACTCAGCAATATTCCAGCTATATGACGGCGGTCTGTAAATAATCGAATCTGGACCAGACAATCCAGTGATTGACATCCTGAGCATTAATCCACTCAATTAGAATATGATGACATTCATCAACCAAGTCAGTCAGCCTGACCACCCAATCCCGTTAGTCGCCTCTTAACACAAGCATTGTCGCCTTTAACGGCAAGCATGGGTTCCCGAAGACCTATTCTACCCCGGATCTTCACGGGTCTCATAACAGAATGAGATAAGCCTACAGTTGTCTGTGTTGTAGATGTGGTCACCGTCCTTCCACCTGACAACATAACAGAATAAGATATGCCTACAGTAGTCTGTGTTGTAGATGTGGTCACCGTCCTTCCACCTGACGTGGGCGTGTGGGAAGAAGACGGTCGACTGTGTCCAGACTGACCTGTCCAGACAGCATGTGGACATCTCCACAAGAATGTACAACCGGGTCAAGATGGGATACGGGCTGGACTCGGAGGTAACGGTCGAACCCTTTCTTAAAGTTCAAACGCATAGAATTTTAGTCTGTCTTAAAGAAATCTTACAATATCAAAAATGCCCCACAGAGGACATGTATTTGGCAACCATATTTATGTAAAGTAAGAATGTCTTAATAGATTTGTTTGGAAGCACACTTAGGTGTTTCAATTACAGTTGAAGCCTGTTATCTCAAACCTAGTGGGACCGTGTTGTAACTTCAAGATATCTGGACTTTAGAGATAACGAGGCATGAACTTATTTATAGCACCGGAGAATTGGTTCGAGATATCAGTACATTCGAGATTTAAAAAGGCGCTCGAGATAAAGAGGTTTGACTATAGTTTTGAAAAATGTGAACATTGCCTTGGAAAGCCTTCAAGCATTTGGTGGCTCAAGTTTTGTATGAAGTTTTGATTGGCAATGTACCTGGTCGATCTTATCTGAATTTATGAATGATGATGACAGTTTATACAATTGACTGTTTGATTGATGATTGACTGTTTGACTGGTTGAATGGTTGACTGTCTGAATGATGATTGACAGTTTGAATGGTTAAATGGTTGACTGTTTGAATGATGAATGACAGTTTGAATGGTTGACTGTTTGAATGATTGTTTTGAATGGTTGCATGGTTGACTGTTTGATTGATGATTGACACTTTGAAAGGTTGACTGTTTGAATGGTGATTGACAGTTTGAATGTTTGAATGATGATTGACAGTTTGAATGGTTGACAGTTTGAATGATGATTGACAGTTTGAATGGTTGAACAGTTGACTGTTTGAATGATGATTGACAGTTTGAAAGGTTGATTGTTTGAATGGTGATTGACAGTTTGAATGTTTGAATGATGATTGACAGTTTGAATGATGATTGACAGTTTGAATGGTTGACAGTTTGAATGATGATTGACAGTTTGAATGGTTGAACGGTTGACTGTTTGAATGATGATTGACTCATGTTTCACGGTTTCAGATGTCCAGCCTGGACAGTGTTGGGCCTGCAATAGACTACGAGTCTCACCTACACGGACTGTGGAAGTGGTTGTTCTGTATCCTGGCAACACAATTCAACATGGAAAGGAACATTTTTTATTGTTAGCTCACCTGGCCTGAAGGACCATGTCAGCTCATGTCCGCTTTCATCATTCATTGTCTGTCATCATCCATAAACATTTTCCAATTTTTACTTCATCTCCAAAATGGCTTGATGGATTCAGCTGAAATTTGGTATGGAAGTTTGTTACAAAAAGGAAGTTTCGGCTAGTTCAGGGCATCAAAATTGGCAATTCAATGTGGCCATTAGGAAACAAATTGAAAACTCTTCTCCTAAACTTAAAAGGCCAGAAGCCTGGAACTTCTGTAGTTCCATGTTTGTCTGGGGAATCTTGATCACAAATCAAACATCTACTCTGTAGGGGGCCAGTTGGTCTGTCCCAGAGTCGACTTTTTCAGACAACCATCAGACAGCTGGAATATTCCTAAGTGCAGCGTTAAACAACAAACAAAACAAAATATCATTCTACCTATGATAACATTAGAAAATAATAGACAGCCCCCTGTGAGAAACAGTCACAACAACTGACCTGATCGAGAAAAGTTAAAATATGAACTTATTAAAGAAGTGGGTCGGGGGATATTGGAACGGAGTTCCTCCATGAGTCCGTCTGTACTCTTCTGAAAGGGGAATTTTTTTTTGAAAAACTATTCAGAGAAATAAAATTTTACACACTGATTGTACTGGTCACGACCTCAAATGAGTTCGAAAATTGGTGTCATAAATTCATTTTTTACGGAGTTATGGCCCTTCCATGCCATTTAACTTAGTGCATACTGTGTTCAATGGGGACGTGTCTTCTCAGAAACTACTGAAGTTACATGAAAGAAGGTTTGCATGCTTATGTAAGAGATACGTGTCAAGACTGAGTTCGAAAATTGGTGCCGTACATTATTTGTTTTGCAGAGTTATAGTCCTTGGTCCGTGCTTTTCAACTTAGTGCATAGTGTCTGCAATGGGGACAACTTTTCTCAGAGACTACTGACATTACATCAATGAAACTTTGCAAGCTTATCTAAGAGATACTTGTCAAGACTGAGTTCGAAAATTTGTCCCCTGATTAATTCTTTTAGAGAGTTATGGCCCTTGCTCCATGCATTTCATCTAAGTGCATATTGTGTGCAATTGGGATTGTTTTCACCCAAATCACTGAGGATACTTGAATGATAGTTGAATGCTCATCTAAGAGATACTTGTCAAGACTGAGTTCAATAATTCCTATAAATTATTTGTTTACAGAGTTACGGCCCTTGATCCATGTTATTTTACTTGGTGCATAGTGTGTGCAATGGGGGACAAGTTTTCTTAGAAACTACTGAAGTTAGCTTTTGTAAGAGATACTTATCAAGATCAAGTTATTTTTTCTAGAGAAGGGGCCATTTATGTGTATTAATTTCACATTTAATCAATTTTTCTGATGACATAAAAGCAGTCTTCGGGCTATCTTTTTTTAATGTTTTATATGAATTTTTTTTATAGTTTATGGTTTATATTCACTACTGTATGAACAAACAAAATTCTTATGTGCACCATGGCGGGGGTTATTGATAAAGCTGTATGAACAAACAAAATTCTAATGTGCACCATGGCGGGGGTTATTGATAAAGCTGTTTTCATCTTCTCTATATTACTCACTGACATTTAAGAAATAAAATGTATGAAATTTCAACCCTACAGAGAAACTTTGCTGAAGGCAGCCTATTGTTCAGATGAATCCATGTCATTAATTTGTTACATCATGAACAATGGATGATATCATACCATATTGTTCTCAACAATGAAGCACTGTCATGTCATATGGCTTCAATTGACCAATCAGCATTGAGAATCACCAAAACACGTGCGCAATATCGGAAAGTTATAACACACATCATTCTACCCTAATGGGTACTATTGCATATTTATACCCTGAAAGTGTTACAATTTGGGAAGCCTTAACCTGTATCAGCCATCAAAGATTACCTGAACGAGAGTGAGCCGTCCTCCATCTTGAAGAACTCGGGCATTGGTATCCGGGGCATCCTCCAAGTTGAAGACAGCGAGGCCAGCAAAAACGTGTTCAAGTCCTGGATTGGTGTGGACAGCATGGTGAACCAGGGCAGAAACGTCAACCAGTTCGTGAGTCGAGAGAGGTGAGAGTGTGTAGTAGAACCAAGTAAACTGAGGATTTGGTGGTTAAGATGTCTGTTTGATAGTTTGTCAAGTGCGGGATGGTTCAGTACAGTAAACATGCTTATAATGAACTGACAGAACAAGGAAAGCTCCGACGTTCATACAGTTTGGCCCTCACTCTATAAAGGTTCATACTCCAATGAACTCACACAAAGTGAAAGTCAATTCTTAACTCACTTTGCATCTTCCCGAGGCAAGAGAGTAAACTGGCTATAAAAGTCCAGTTCCCACCCTTGCCGAAATAGGCTGGTATTATGGAGTTACATTTTGGCTGGACTAACGAGTCTATGCATAGTCCAATCAAAATCGCACACCGAAATTGAAATCTGGTTCGTAAACTGTCGTGCAGATTTCGGTCGATTGCAGGATTTGCAAAGCATGTGCACCACCAACTCGTTGTCAGCAGATATTTTTCCAAATCTTCTCATGTTTTTAGTCAAGGTTCTCTCGTGATTTGATGCATTTCGCGATGTAAGACCCGTTTTATCGCAATATAGATATTGATTACGATCAGATCATCCTGACCGGGCGCAACCATTTTGTGTGAAGCAAACGCAAGTGATATGAGAGGTGGAATCTGATTGGTCCTTAGGAGAGGCTTAGAAGGGACACAATTGGTAATAGCCACTGGTGGCGCTACGATCGAGCCCAGTAATTCCAGCCTAGTTCGGCAAGGGTGGAAACTGGACTTTTAAAGTCAGTTAACTCTCTTGCCTCAGGAAGATGCTCATTTTGTGTTCCCATGTGTTCTCTGTGACTGATAATGTTGATGTTTATAATGAACTGTATTCATTCGGCTATTCAAAACGGAAATAGTGAGTGAGTATGATTTTACGCCGCTTTTAGCAATATTCCAGCAATATCATGGCAGGGGACACCAGAAATGGGCTTCACACATTGTACCCATGTTGGGAATCAAACCCGGGTCTTCGGCGTGACGAGCGAATGCTCTAACCACTAGACTATCCGACCGGCCCCCAAAACAGCAATAAACAATTGAATGCTAGTGATTGACTGGATTAAGTCCTGACACCTTGTCCTCATTTTGCATCCTCAATTAACAATCGACTCTTGAGTCTGTATGTCAGTGAACTATCAATAATATATTTATAACATGTATTTACTTACGTGATGTATTTTATGTCATTTATTGGATGTCTGCCAGTTGAAATAAACAAACTATGGCTAAAACGAACGAAAATTAGTGGTCCCTTTGAGTTCGCTATAGCCTACTTTACTGTATTTAATAAAGTGTCATTGCTTTGAAAATGTCCCTCAGTTCATACAAGCGCAATATATTGTTGTTGTTGTTATTGTGGTTAGACCGCCTCCGTGGTCTAGTGGTAGAGCGTCTGCCCGGAGAGCGGAAGGCCCGGGGTTCGATCCCCCGCCGCGTCATACCAAAAGACGTTAAAAGATGGAACTTGTTGTTACCCTGTCTGGCGCTTGGCATTAAGGGGTTAAAGCAAGGACTGGTCGGTTCGGAGTCAGTATACTGTGTCTGAGTGGGGTATTCATGTTAAACTGCGGCATGGTATCTCAGTGTGCTAGCACTATAAATCGGCATCTGTCCGGACTAGTACAAGCAGCCACACACACACACGTGCATGCACGTTGCTATATAAGTGCAATAATCTTGGACGCGACGTTAAACCCAATTTCACCTCACCTGTTATTATTGTTATAATTGTTATTATTATTGGTTGTTATGGTGATGTATTCTTGGATGTTCAAGGTCGGTGGTGCTGCAGTTGTGTGGCTGGGGCAGGGAAGATGACAAGTTCGGATCTCTCAAATCTCTACTAGAAAAGTAAGTTGCTCAATTGATTTGGTTGTTTGCATGTCCTTGTACCCGAAAGCATGTACCGGTGCTCTTAATATCAATCACTGGTTTGTCTGGTCCAGACTCGATTATTTCAGGCTGCTGTCATATAGCTGGAATATGTTCGAGTTTTGCGTTAAACAGCATGTAAGACAATGTTGAGATGGTATTTCTGTCTATAGTTGATACTCTATATTATTATCAGAACTGGTATCTATGTCTGCTGCGGTAACATTGCCACAGACCCCAAGGTATGCTATGTTCCTTCTGTTTCTGGGGGCACGAGTGGCCCAGTTGTCTAAGGCACCACGATTCTCTGTGCAGAGTTGTGTCCCTTGGGCACGCCAGAAACCTATGATTGTGGGTTCGAATCCCGGAATCCCAATTATGTTTCTAGGTTTGTCAGCACCATACCCGTGCTAATGGGTTTCACCGAAGTGGTAAACATCTGAGACCTGCATCACTTCGGGCTTTCCTCCCACATTAAACTGACACGCCGCGAAATAACTGGAATAATGTTAAAAGCGGCGTTAAACCCAACTCACTCACTCACTCCTTCTGTTTCTATATTACAGTTTACAGGAGAAAGGATTCTACGAGAAGGCAGCGGCTCTGGCACTCTTCAACCTCCGTCTGAAGCAGTCCCTGGAAATACTCAGTCACGGAGCCAGCCGATCGCAAGGTAACGGTTGACTGGCAAAGCATCACCAATCCAAGAATTGTACTTTTTTACCCATAACTGAATTGTCAGTTTTCTTTTGTGTTTTACTGCCTTGGATAGCCTGTTGTTAGATACTCAATCTTCTTGTGCCACACACGGCCACACACACAAACACAAACACGGACACACACACAAACACAAACACAAACACACACAACCACACACACCCACAAACACACATGCATGGAGGTGCGCTCGCGCATGCGCGCATGCACGCACACAGACACATGGAGGACACACACACACACACATGTAAGTGCACTAATCTTGAACATGAAGTCAAGCCCTACTCCCCTCCCCTCCCCCCCCCAGCTGAACAAGATATTGCTCCTGCTTACAATCACTGGCTTGTCTGGTCCAGACTGAATTATTTTCAGGCTGCCATGATTGACTGGAATATTGCTGAGTGAGCATAAAACAACAACCAAATAAGGGCTTTAAGTTTCATTTCCAGATATATTTATTCGCTTAAAAACATTTAATCTGTCATCAGAACCCATTGAATTGTTGTATGTTGAAATGTCAAACCACCTGTTGACGTCTCCCCAGATCACGCCAACCTGAACGCTGTTGCCATGGCGCTGGCGGGGTACTCGGACCAGAAATCGACGCTGTGGCAGAAGACGTGCAGCAGCCTGCGCGACCAGCTGGAGGACCCGTACCTCCGGGCCATGTTCGCCTTCCTGACTGGCGACCGACAGAACTACAAGGACGTGCTGGTCAGTACCTGGTGGTCCAGTGGCTGAAGTGTTCACCTTGCCAGCCACCCAGGTTCAGAGCCCAATACCATGAAGACTACCGTATTTTCTTGAGTATAGTGCGCACCCATGTATAATGCGCACCCCCCTCTAGCGGATTCAGTATTTTGGAGAAAAAAAATTTGAATGTCAAGTCCTGGTGTCTGATATTCATATTGTGGGGATTTCACAAAGTGTGGCATCACATCCTATTTGATTTCCCTGCTTCATTTCCAGGATATTCTCGGAGAGTCGTTATGCCATTAACCTAGGTTTAGATCCATGCTCAGAATATTCTCAGTTGGAGGCAAAGGTGGCCCAGTCATCTAAGGTGCACCAAGTCGCTATGCAGACTTGAATTCCTAGGCGAGCCAGAAACCTAAGAAATACATTTTTACCATTTGTTGAACAGGAATATGTGACATTTTGATTATTTCACACCATTGTAAGGGGAGATAATGCTTTTGTGTATTGGCCAACTGGGCAGATGACCATGTTGTGTTTTGTTCATCAGGGCAGATAACCATGTTGTGATATATCCACAAGCTCCTCACAGCGATAGTACGTTCCCGGAGCTCTCTATACTATTGCTGCCACCAGTCAAAACTCCCCACTGTGAATAGGTGGCCACAACCATGCTTGGAGTTGAACTCGCAACCGAATGACCGTTATGTTTACAAACAAGTGACGACTGTCGTGATGCCGAATACACTTATCGCTGCTAAATTACTTTCTTCGTTTGTCAATCTGAATTTTTGTTTCATTAAAACTATCGTATTATTGATATAGTAAGAATGTAAGGGAGAAGTTGGTTGATTTTCAGTTAGTCTGCAATCTCGAACCAATCTGAATATCAAAACAACAAAGTAAATTCATCTGGAAAATATGGTCAGTCGTAAACCTTTTCAAATTGAAATATGATGGCATTCCCAAAGACATAAAAAGATGTATCAACGTTACTACATATGGGGTGGGAGGGCAAATTTCAAGATTCTTGTAATGGCCGCGCCCACACTGGTGGCAGCAATGTTACCGAGAGTGTAACGAAGGTGTCACGCGCTGGGAAGGAGCTTGATATATCCATTGTAAGGGGAGATAACCATTTTGTGTATTGGCCATTTGGGCAGATAACCATGATGTGTTTTGTTCATCAGGGCAGATAACCATGTTGTGATATGTCCATTGTAAGGGGAGATAACTCTTTTGTGTATTGGCCATTAGGGCAGATAACCATGATGTGTTTTGTTCATCAGGGCAGATACCATGTTGTGATATATCCATTGTAAGGGGAGATAACTCTTTTGTGTATTGGCCATTAGGGCAGATAACCATGATGTGTTTTGTTCATCAGGGCAGATAACATGTTGTGATATATCCATTGTAAGGGGAGATAACTCTTTTGTGTATTGGCCATTAGGGCAGATAACCATGATGTGTTTTGTTCATCAGGGCAGATACCATGTTGTGATATATCCACAAGCTGCCCACAGCGATAGCCCGTTCGCAGAGCTCTCTATACTATCGCTGCCACCAGTCAAAACTCCAAACTGTGATAGGTGGCCACAACCATGCTTGGAGTTGAACTCGCAACCGAATGACCGTTATATTTACAAACAAGTGACGACTGTCATGACGCCGAATACACTTACCGCTGATAAATTACTTTCATCGTTATTCAATTTGAATTTCTATTTCATTAAAATGTAATTGATATAATAAGAATGTAAAGGAGAAGTTGGTTGATTTTCAGTTAGTCGGCAATCTCGAACCAATCTGATTATACAAACAACAAAGTAAATTCTTCTGGAAAACATGGTCAGTCGTAAACCTTTTCAAATTGAAATATGATGGCATTCCCAAAGACATAAAAAGATGTATCAACGTTACTACATATGGGGTGGGAGGGCAAATTTCAAGATTCTTGTAATGGCCGCGCCCACACTGGTGGCAGCAATGTTACCGAGAGTGTAACGAAGGTGTCACGCGCTGGGAAGGAGCTTGATATATCCATTGTAAGGGGAGATAACCATTTTGTGTATTGGCCATTTGGGCAGATAACCATGATGTGTTTTGTTCATCAGGGCAGATACCATCTTGTGATATATCCATTGTAAGGGGAGATAACTCTTTTGTGTATTGGCCATTAGGGCAGATATCCATGTTGTGTTTTGTTCATCAGGACAGATACCATGTTGTGATATATCCATTGTAAGGGGAGATAACCATTTTGTGTATTGGTCATCAGGGCAGATTACCATGTTGTGTTTTGTTCATCAGGGCAGATAATCATCTTGTGTTTTGTTCACCAGGAATCGGACATGGCTGTAGAGGACTTGGTAGCCTTTGCCTGCATCTACCTGCCTGACCCCCGGGTGAGTGACCAGTACATAGTGACCACTTCCATGTTATGTCTTAGATTATACACACAGCATTTGCCCATGAGGGATTCCAGGGTAGAAAAGTACCCAGTACCTAAACTTGGAAGGGTCAACTAAAACGGAAGGGAGACATATTGTTTTTTTCTCTGTTGGCGTTGGCATTGGCGTTCCCATCCTATTCCGAGCCATAAATTGAAAACTGTTCAGCTTTTTTGAACGAAACTTGCCATATGCATTGCTCATCCATTTAACTGGTGCCTTTTGCTATTTTGAAATTTTTCAGAATTTTATTTTTATATGTTTCCATGGAAACAATTTTAAGGGCAGGGTTCATTTCCAGACCATGACTTGAGAACCATTCAACATTGTTCTACAGAACTGCACATTTGCATTGGTCACTAACTGGTGCCTTTGCTATTTTAAGATTTGTCAAAATTTCATTTTCTTGTTAACTGGTGCCTTTGCTATTTTAAGATTTGTCAAAACTTCATTTTCTTGTTCTATGAAAACAATTTCGACTTAATCTCAGACGAGGGTAGGGTTTGTTTCTCGGCAACAACTTGAAAATCTTTTAACATATTTCAGTGAAGCTTGGGATACGTATTGCTCATCAGCTTCGCTGGTGCCTTTTGCTATTTTTTTCTAAATTTTATTATTGTATGTTTCTATGGAAACAATTTTGACTTAGTCTCAAACGAAAGGTAGGGTTTGTTTCCCGGCCATAACTTGAAAACCTTTCATCATTTTTCAGCGAAACTTAGTGCCTTTTGCTATTTTTCTAAATTTTATTTTGTTATGTTTACATGGAAACAATTTGTACTTAACCTCAAATTGCATTAGGCTTCATTTCACAGCCATAACTCTCATATTAGTGAATATCTTTGCATGAAACTTATACATGTGCAATGACCAAATGCTCAACTATTTCCTTTTCATATTTTCAATTTTTCAATTTCTTGTGTTTCCGTGGAAACAATTTGGACTAAGTCTTAAACAAGTAGAGTTTGTTTCCTGCCAAACATGGGCGATCGGGTAGCCTAGTGGGTAAAGCGTTCGCTCATCACGCCGAAGACCCGGGTTCGATTCCCGACATGGGTACAATTTGTGAAGCCCATTTCTGGTGTTCCCCGCTGTGATATTGCTGGAATATTTCTAAAATCGGTGTAAACATACTCACACTCCCAAACTCTTCAGCTAATGAATATTTCTGCATGAAACCATAATCTTTCCAGGCTATCATTTGCTGTTATTGATTTTGGGCCAACTTAAACTAATGTGTCAAAAGAAAGGAGGGGGAGACATATGTTTTTGTGTGAAAACACACTCTAATTGAGGATTGTGTGTGTTTTTTACGGGTATTGGTACACTGATGGTATGAATCGTTGCTCATGCTATCAACCCTTATCAGGCCAAATTTGGTGAGTCACTGTTATTTTGAAATATTGCACTCAACCACTCACTCACTCACTCACTCACTCACTCACTCACTCACTCACTCACTCACTCACTCACTCACTCACTCACTCACTCACTCACTCACCCACCCACCCACCCACCCACCCACCCACTCACTCACTCACTCACCCAATGAACCAAGTCTGGTCCACATTTTGATGGACAAGCTGACCTTGGCCCCATGAATACAACTTAGCTTTACAACTCTCGTAAATACTTTACCTGACACATACAATAGTCTTTGTGCTGTGTGACTGGGATCCTGTAGGCTATGCATTCTTTAAGCAAACACTTGGACAACCAGTCCAGCGAATGTCAGAGCGGGAAGGCAGAAGTAGGATTTGTTCCTAGTAGGTGTATGTTCACACAGATAAGTAGGACTTATTTCTAGTTTGTATATCTTACACAGATAAGTAGGACTTGTTTCTAGTCAGTACATCTTCACACAGATAAGTAGGACTTATTTCTAGTCAGTATATCTTCACACAGATAAGTAGGACATATTTCTAGTTCGTATATCTTCACACAGATAAGTAGGACTTATTTCTAGTTCGTATATATCTTCACACAGATAAGTAGGACTTGTTTCTAGTCGGTATATCTTCACACAGATAAGTGGGACTTATTTCTCGTTCGTATATCTTCACACAGATAAGTAGGACTTGTTCCTAGTAGGTGTATGTTCACACAGATAAGTAGGACTTATTTCTAGTTCGTAGATGTTCACACAGATAAGTAGGACTTATTTCTAGTTCGCATATCTTCACACAGATAAGTAGGACTTATTTCTCGTTTGTATATCTTCACACAGATAAGTAGGACTTGTTCCTAGTAGGTGTATGTTCACACAGATAAGTAGGACTTATTTCTAGTTCGTAGATGTTCACACAGATAAGTAGGACTTATTTCTAGTTCGCATATCTTCACACAGATAAGTAGGACTTATTTCTAGTCAGTATATCTTCACATAGATAAGTAGGACTTATTTCTAGTTCGTATATCTTCACACAGATAAGTAGGACTTATTTCTAGTTGGTATATCTTCACACAGATAAGTAGGACTTATTTCTAGTCAGTATATCTTCACACAGATAAGTAGGACTTATTTCTAGTTCGTAGATGTTCACACAGATAAGTAGGACTTATTTCTAGTCAGTATATCTTCACACAAATAGGTAGGACTTGTTTCTAGTCAGTATATCTTCACACAGATAAGTAGGACTTATTTCTAGTCGGTATATCTTCACACAGATAAGAAGGACTTGTTACTAGTCAGTATATCTTCACACAGATAAGTAGGACTTATCTCTAGTAAGTATATCTTCACACAGATAAGTAGGACTTATTTCTAGTTCGTAGATGTTCACACAGATAAGTAGGACTTATTTCTAGTCGGTATATCTTCACACAGATAGGTAGGACTTATTTCTAGTCGGTATATCTTCACACAGATAAGTAGGACTTATTTCTAGTTCGTAGATGTTCACACATATAAGTAGGACTTATTTCTAGTTCGTATATCTTCACACAGATAGGTAGGACTTGTTTCTAGTCAGTATATCTTTACACAGATAAGTAGGACTTGTTTCTAGTCAGTATATCTTCACACAGATAAGTAGGACTTATTTCTAGTTCGTAGATGTTCACACAGATAAGTAGGACTTATTTCTAGTTCGCATATCTTCACACAGATAAGTAGGACTTATTTCTAGTCAGTATATCTTCACATAGATAAGTAGGACTTATTTCTAGTTCGTATATCTTCACACAGATAAGTAGGACTTATTTCTAGTCGGTATATCTTCACACAGATAGGTAGGACTTATTTCTAGTCAGTATATCTTCACACAGATAAGTAGGACTTATTTCTAGTCGGTATATCTTCACACAGATAAGAAGGACTTGTTACTAGTCAGTATATCTTCACACAGATAAGTAGGACTTATCTCTAGTCAGTATATCTTCACACAGATAAGTAGGACTTATTTCTAGTCAGTATATCTTCACACAGATAAGTAGGACTTGTTCCTAGTAGGTGTATGTTCACACAGATAAGTAGGACTTATTTCTAGTCGGTATATCTTCACACAGATAAGTAGGACTTGTTTCTAGTCAGTACATCTTCACACATATAAGTAGGACTTATTTCTAGTTCGTAGATGTTCACACAGATAAGTAGGACTTATTTCTAGTTAGTATATCTTCACACAGATAGGTAGGACTTGTTTCTAGTCAGTATATCTTCACACAGATAAGTAGGACTTGTTTCTAGTCAGTATATCTTCACACAGACTTTTTTATGACTTTATTACCTACTCATTTTCTCTTCATCTCTTCAGCTTATGTACTTCATCGACAAACTGACCAATGATCTCAAGTCTGCTGGGAATCTGGATGGCATCATGCTCACTGGTAAGTTCTGATCCTCTAGCTGGTCGAGGTCAGATAATGTCACAGGTCAACATCCATCCATCCATCCATCTGTAGGTACTATAGAGCAATAAAAAGATGTGAGGCTGTGTGTTTGATAGTGAGGCAGGCGGGGATGAAAATACTGTTTATCGCTGTGTATAAGGCGAGTTTTTTTGTACCAAGAATTAGGGGGCCTTTCAAGGGGGAGTTGTATACACAGGGTTGAAGAGTTTTGATGTTTTTTCCTCCAATACAAAGACAGTACCGCGAGTACGTAACACCGGAAATGCCATCTCAACAAAACTGTACTGAAGTACGCAAATTGATCATGGAATTACATGTCTGGTTATAAAAAGTGTTCATTGTATATCAGGACTTATGTTTGTGATCTATTTTATTAAATTTTATTCAAAATTACATTCAATATTGTTTGCATTCATCTCGGCGAAATTGTGTGTGGAGTGATCAGTAGCTCGCGCAACTCAACGTTATTTACAGCAAACATTACCTCTTTTGATGCCACTATTGACGCCGCTATTGGTGGTTGAATAATTTATAAATGAATAAATTTGGCCTCAAATTGCCTCACATTTTTTTACTGCCTTCGTCATCTAGTGGTAAAGCGTCTGCCCTGGGTGCGGAAGGTCAGGGGTTGGATCCCCAGCCATATCATACCAAAAGATGTTAAAAGATGGTACTTGTTGTTGTCGTGCCTGGCGCTTGTCATTACAGGGCTAAAACAAGGACTTGTCAGCTCGGAGTCAGTATACTGTGTCTGAGTGGAGTATTCATGTTCAACTGCAGCATGGTATCTCAGTCGGCTAGCACTATTAAATCGGCATCAGTCCGGACTAGTACAAGCAGCACCACACACACGCATGCATCCACGTTGCTATATAAGCGCAATCGCCTTGAACATGACGTTAAACCCCATTTCACCTCACCATATACTCATTTGACTATGCTGAGTGCACAAATATGAATCTTATGTTTTTCAGTGAAACATTTTCCTACTTATGAGTATTAATTGCGTCTTTCTGTGTCTGAGTTGTCTAAGTTTCTGTCCCTGTACCATGGCAGGCATGACGGCGGAGGGCCTCGACCTTCTGGAGAACTACATTGATGCAACCAGTGATGTCCAGACGGCGGCCCTGGCTCTCGTGTGCTCCTTCCCCCATGCCATCGCACAGGACGAGCGGATACAGACGTGGATAGATAGGTGGGTCGACTCAGCAAGGATTTATACTGTGTGAATTCTGGGGCTGCCAACCCATGTTTGTATGAATTGAAGTGGATTTGGTGGACAGCATGGATTTCTGCTCTCACTCACTCACTCACTCACTCACTCACTCACTCACTCACTCACTCACTCACTCTCTCTCAGCTCTCTCACTCACTCACTCGACCACTCACTCAACCACTCACTCAACAACTCACTCATCCACTCACTCAACAACTCACTCATCCACTCACTCACTCAACCACTCACTCAACCACTTAACCACCCACTCACTGATCCAACAACTCACTCACTCAACCACTCACTCACTCACTCAACCACCTACTCACTGATCAAACCATCCACTCACTAACTCACTCACTCACTCAACCACCTACTGACTGATCCAACCATCCACTCACTCACTCACTCACTCAACCACCTACTCACTGATCCAACCATCCACTCACTCACTCACTCAACCACCTTCTCACTGATCCAACCATCCACTCACTCACTCACTCACTCAACCACCTACTCACTGATCCAACCATCCAATCATCCAATCACTCACTCACTCACTCAACCACTCAACCACTCACTCAACAACTCACCCATCCACTCACTCAACAACTCACTCATCCACTCACTCACTCAACACATCACTCAACCACTCACTCAACCACTTAACCACCCACTCACTGATCCAACAACTCACTCACTCAACCACTCACTCAACCACTCACTCAACCACTCAACCACACACTCACTCAACCACTCACTCACTCACTCAACCACCTACTCACTGATCCAACCATCCACTCACTAACTCACTCACTCACTCACTCACTCAACCACCTACTCACTGATCCAACCATCCACTCACTCACTCACTCACTCAATCAACCACCACCTCACTGATCCAACCATCCACTCACTCACTCACTCACTCACTCACTCACTCACTCAACCACCTACTCACTGATCCAACCATCCACTCACTCACTCACTCACTCAACCACCTACTCACTCACTCAACCACCTACTCACTGATCCAACCATCCACTCACTCACTCACTCACTCAACCACCTACTCACTGATCCAACCATCCACTCACTCACTCACTCACTCACTCACTCACTCACGCACTCACGCACTCACTCACTCACTCACTCACTCAACCACCTACTCACTGATCCAGCCAGCCACTCACTCACTCACTCAACCACTCACTCAGACATCCACCCTTCCAATTGCACTCACTCACTCACTCGAGTTCTAGCTGCAAATGATTTTTGTTAAACAGGCATCTTTGTTTTTTTTTGTTTCAGTTACCGCAAACTGCTGGACCGGTGGAGACTCTGGCATCACAGGTACACCTCCATACTAGTTATCTCTTCTTTCATTCAACAGGAAGGCACAGCTGCACCCCTTAAGTTCCAGGATTCACTGTCATGGGCATGAATCCCCCATTTAACCCTATTGTGATCCTGGGCATCTTCCAAAGGCAAGGGAGTTAACTGACTATAAAAGTCCAGTTTCCACCCATGCCAAATTAGGCTGGAATCATTGAGTTATGTTTTGGCCAGACTAACGAGTTTATGCTTAGTCCAGTCATAATCACGTAACGAAATCGATCGATTGCAGGATTTGTACATGTGTACCATCAACATGCTGTCAACAGAAATTTTCAAAGTCTTTTCTTGTTTTTAGTCAAGGTGCTCACATGATTTGATGCACTTTGCAAAGTAAGACACGTTTTATAAGAAAAGAGATCTTGATTATTGATTGTCGTCACGAGGCGCCTCCATTTAATTTGAAGCAAACGCAAGTGACAATCGATCCCAGAAATTCCAGCCTAGTTTGGCAAGGGTGGAAACTGGACTTTCACAGTCAGTAACTCCCTTGCCTCAGGAAGATGGATTCTGGGTATGTAACGTACATATGGCTGTCAGACCTGCATCACTGAAGGCTTTCCTCCCACATCAATCTGACCACACTGACATACTGTTCCACTCAATCAACTATACTTCTGTTGGTGAATAGGCCCAGAATAGGTACCTGATGTTTGTCTGAGAAGAAACAGATCATCAGATTACATTTCACTTACAAGTTTGTAATATCTGTTAAAGATATATATACATTTCTGTTTCTTTCCATCTGTTACGCAGTGGAAGGTGACGTTCACGTGTTCTGCCTTCTGTCCTTCTAAGGACCACGATACTTGTACACGTTATATATATAAGGACTGTGATATTGGTACACATTAAATCTATAAGGACAATGAATATTGCTACTCGTTACATCTATATAAGGACCATGAATATTGGTACACGTTACATCTATAAGGACCATGAATACTGGTACACGTTACATCTATAAGGACCACGAATATTGGTACACATTGTATCTATAAGGACCACGAATATTGGTCTACAACAATGAAAACCAAAGTGTGTGTTGCTCCATCAGATGAAATGCCTACACTGACTATTTCAATGCATTAAGTGTAGTTCAGCAACCCATGCTTGCCATAAAAGGTGACTATGCTTGTCGTAAGAGGCGACTAACGGGATTTTGTGGTCGGACTCGCTGACTTGGTTGATGCATGTCATTGAACTCAATTGCATGGATCGATGCTCATGATATCAATCACTGGATTGTCTGGTCCAGACTCAATTATTTACAGACCGCCGTTATATAGCTGGAATATTGCTGAGTGCGGCGTTAAACAACAAACAAGCAAACAAACAAAAATCAAGTGTAGAATCCAGTTGCAGCATGTGCAACGAATGCCACGATCTGTTTTCCGCGAGGTGTGTGGCCTTTTTGTGAATTGTTCACATGAACCGAAACAATGTTGATTTTTCATTTCGTCTCCTAAACACCATCCAGGGCCAAGTTTGACATCCTGTACCACAAGAGCGACCCAGGCCAGCGCATCCCGAGCCAGGTGTTCGTGGGCTGCAACTTCTGTGGGAAGTCCATCACCAGCACGTCCACCATGATCGCCCGCTCTACGGGTTACCGCACGCATGTGGGCAGAGCAGCGGCCTACAAACCCAGGGTGCGTAACAGGGCTATCGTATCCTCTGTCAATTAAGTACAGTAGAACACGGATATAACAAACTACAAGGGACCAGAGAAATCAGTTCGTTATATCCGTTGTTCGTTATACACGTTTTCGCTCGGACATTCGCCATCTTGGATAAGACAAACACACAATACACATAATTGCAGCATTGACTTGTAATCTTGTCTGTAAAACAAACATTAAACATATACATGTACAGGTAAGATTAACACAATGCAAATTTAACAAGGTTGATCCGTTACCGCTGATTGTATTGATTCGCCGCCATTGTGTTGATTCGCCGCTGATTGCGTACAGCAATTGTCAGTGACACTGAGTGAGAATCTCAGTTCGCTGTACACGTCACTAATTAGTGATAGATGGGCTTGTCAGTGATCAGATATCAGTTCGCTGTATCCGTTAGTTCGCTGTAGAGAGTTTGTTATATACGTAAGTTTTATATGATATTATATGGGAGACAAATGGGGGATTTTTTTACAGTTCGTTGTATCCGTTTGTTCGCTATATCCGTGTTCCTTATATCGTGTTCTACTGTATGTTGTATAGGCTCAACTGATTGAAAGCTAGTTTATGCAGTGTTTTGTCTGCTGTTGGGCTTCTGTATTGTGTATAACCCTTGGGGATTCCGGGTTAAAATATGTCCCCAGCGACCCAGCTTGTTGTAAGAGGCGACTTAATTCATTGGGTCATCAGGTTCATGACTTGGTTGATTGCATGTCATTGTAGCCCTTCGGCTTGGATCGTTGCTCATAGCGTCAGTCACTGCATTGCTTGGTCCAGACTCGATTATTTACAGGTAGCTTGAATATAGTGGGTTATTAAACTACAAACAAACAACCTGTGTCATGTCACAAGAGCCTGAAGAGACCAAAATAAACGACTAATTGCCCAGAATGGATTTTTCAATATGGCCGCTGTAGCATGTAAACAGATAACTTACACCTTCATCAGCAGAGCTGTCAGTGACGCAAGAATATCAATAGTATCAATATATTACAATGTTATACTAATGTGCCTAACTGGAGTTTTCAATATGGCCGCAGATCTCCCTTGCTCAAGGCCAGCAGTACAGACGAATCAGTTTAAAACAATACAACAGTACTAAACTGTACCACATATCTTCTGACAAGTACAACAGGCATGACAAGTATTGCTGACACAACTTTATTTCAATGTTCAGGTTACCTGCTGTCCAAGTTGTCGCAAGTCTCTCCCTCGCTGTGCCCTCTGTCTCACCAATCTGGGCACAGCCTCGGGGACAGGGGTTGGCGAACTCAAAGGGCACCCAAGTAAGTACCCAGGGCACAGAAATCAAGGGACACCCACACAGATTAACAGGACATTTTGTCTTATAATTAATATTCAATATTGTCAAGAAATTGTCATGTTATCAGCATCATTACTATTTAAAGTAAGATTAAGGACATATTTTCTTAAGCCGTTAGTTTCTTAACAGGAGATTATATCTAAATATCCCTGTGATAAGTTGAATAGTATAGCATCTCAATATCCCTGTGAAAGGTTGAGTAGGATAGTATCTAGATGTCCCTGTGATATGTTTAATATAGTATCTCAATATCCCTGTGAAAGGCTCAGTTGTATATCTCAATATCCCTGTGATATGTTGAGTAGTATAGTATCTCAATATCCCTGTGAAAGGCTCAGTTGTATATCTCAATATCCCTGTGATATGTTGAGTAGTATAGTATCTCAATATCCCTGTGAAAGGTTCAGTTGTATATCTCAATATCCCTGTGATATGTTGAGTAGTATAGTATCTCAATATCCCTGTGAAAGGCTCAGTTGTATATCTCAATATCCCTGTGATATGTTGAGTAGTATAGTATCTCAGTATCCCTGTGAAAGGCTCAGTTGTATATCTCAATATCCCTGTGATATGTTGAGTAGTATAGTATCTCAATATCCCTGTGAAAGGTTCAGTTGTATATCTCAATATCCCTGTGATATGTTGAGTAGTATAGTATCTCAATATCCCTGTGAAAGGTTCAGTTGTATATCTCAATATCCCTGTGATATGTTGAGTAGTATAGTATCTCAGTATCCCTGTGAAAGGCTCAGTTGTATATCTCAATATCCCTGTGATATGTTGAGTAGTATAGTATCTCAATATCCCTGTGAAAGGTTCAGTTGTATATCTCAATATCCCTGTGATATGTTGAGTAGTATAGTATCTCAATATCCCTGTGGAAGGTTGAGTAGTATAGTATCTCCATATTCCTGTGATATGTTTGATATAGTATCTCAATATCCCTGTGAAAGGTTCAGTTGTATATCTCAATATCCCTGCGATATGTTGAGTAGTATAGTATCTCAATATCCCTGTGGAAGGTTGAGTAGTATAGTATCTCCATATTCCTGTGATATGTTTAGTATAGTATCTCAATATCTCTGTGAAAGGTTCAGTAGGATAGTATTTCAATATCCCTGTGATATGTTGAGTAGTATAGTTTCTCGATGTCCCTGTGATATGTTGAGTAGTATAGTATCTCAATGTCTGTGATATATTGAGTAGTATAGTATCTTTATCCCTGTGATATGTTGAGTAGTATAGTATCTCAATGTCTGTGATATATTGAGTCGTATAGTATCTTTATCCCTGCGATATGTTGAGCAGTATAGTATCTCAATATCCCTGTGGAAGGTTGAGTAGTATAGTATCTCCATATTCCTGTGATATGTTTAGTATAGTATCTCAATATCTCTGTGAAAGGTTCAGTAGGATAGTATTTCAATATCCCTGTGATATGTTGAGTAGTATAGTTTCTCGATGTCCCTGTGATATGTTGAGTAGTATAGTATCTCAATGTCTGATATATTGAGTCGTATAGTATCTTTATCCCTGTGATATGTTGAGTAGTATAGTATCTCAATGCCCCTGTGATATGTTGATTTGTATAGTATCCCTGTGATATGTTGAGTAGTATAGTATCTCGATGTCCCTGTGATATGTTGAGTAGTATAGTATCTCAATATCCCTGTGAAAGGTTGAGTAGTATAGTATCCCTGTGATATGTTGAGTAGTATAGTTTCTCGATGTCCCTGTGATATGTTGAGTAGTATAGTATCTCAATGTCTGATATATTGAGTCGTATAGTATCTTTATCCCTGTGATATGTTGAGTAGTATAGTATCTCAATGCCCCTGTGATATGTTGATTTGTATAGTATCCCTGTGATATGTTGAGTAGTATAGTATCTCGATGTCCCTGTGATATGTTGAGTAGTATATCTCAATGTCCCTGTGAAAGGTTGAATACCATAGTATCTCAATATCCCTGTGATATGTTGAGTAGTATAGTATCTCAATATCCCTGTGAAAGGTTGAGTAGTATAGTATCCCTGTGATATGTTGAGTAGTATAGTATCTCAATATCCCTGTGAAAGGTTGAGTAGTATAGTATCCATGTGATATGTTGAGTAGTATAGTATCTCAATATCCCTGTGAAAGGTTGAGTAGTATAGTATCCCTGTGATATGTTGAGTAGTATAGTATCTCAATATCCCTGTGAAAGGTTGAGTAGTATAGTATCCCTGTGATATGTTGAGTGGTATAGTATCCTCCCGTCCCATGTTGGGGATGGACAGCGAGGTCCTGGCTGTGGATTCAATGTGAGTCTGTTTGCAGGCACTGTGAAGATGTCCATGTTTGACGACTGGTTCACCTGGTGTCAGTCCTGTCGACACGGCGGCCATTCCTCTCATATACAGAATTGGTTCAAGTGAGTTCAATGTATCATGTTTGTGTTTGGAATGAGGAGTTTATAAAAAAGTAATTCATACATTTCCCATTGCCCTTATTTTTTACTTAACCTGCATTACTCCTTAAACAACGAGCAATGTGGAAGGAAAAGACGTATTATTACACAAATGTGAGCAAAATTATAAGTTTTGTTTGTTGGTTGTTTTGCTTTGCTTCCACGTTAAATTTCGTCTGCGACCTTATCTTATTATAAGATATTGAAGATCAGGGGTAGAATAGGTCTTCAGCAACTCATGCTTGCTGTATGAGGCAACTATGCCTTGGGTTGTCAGGCTCGCTGACTTGATTGATGCATGTCATCATATCCCAATTGCGTGGATCAATGTTCATGATGTCAATCACTGGACCGCCGTCATATAGCTGGAATATTGCTGAGTGCGGCATTAAACAACAAACAAACAACAGCATCAACTTTGAAGGTTTCTACAGTGGGTCGCTTTATTGGCGATGTTGCGCTGTAGATGGCGATAAATATGGAATGTAATATGCGCAGGAATCAAATGTTCTCACTCGATTATAATATTTTATGGGTTCTTATACTGTCAAACACCCCTTTTGACATATCATAAGGCACCTACCCTTGTAACACATGTGGTGTCTCCTTGGGCAAGTGACTTTGTTCGAAATGTGCCTCTGTTCACCCAGCAGTAAATGGGTACCCGGTAGGATGAGATGGCAATGTGGCTTGGGTTGTATACTCCCCAGGGAGCTGAGAATGATTCTTGAGTGCACATTGATCCACTGACTGGGGTAGTAATAGCGCATTGAGCATTGCCCTGAGTGTTGTGGAAATATGAGCAATATAAATAGCCTATTATTATTATTATTTTATTTATTATTTGTTGTTGTTGTTTTTATTATTATTATCATTATAGACCATTATGAGCTAATGTTGGAAATATTACTGAAACATTCAGCTGAGCTACAGAACCTTATTCTTTGATTCCAACCACATGCTGACTGTTTGTTGTCAGAGACCACTCAGAGTGTCCCGTGACCGACTGCAGCTGCAAGTGTATGAAGATCGACTCGCTGGGCCGTGTGATGGGGAGAGAGAGTACGGCAATGGTGCTCGTGCCAGCCACGTGACATCAAAAGATACCTATATTTAAACTTACATATTATGACTGAAAACTTCATTCTCAGTCTCGTATCTACAGCTTTTGATGACATAGGAAATTGTGATTATTTTTTAAAACATTGTTTGAACTTCATGATAACTTATCTGAAACTTTTGTTGAAATGAAAATTGTGATTTGGAGAAAAATAATAACAGCCATACGCTAATTGTTTTGTTTTGATCATAGCTTGAATAAGCAAATGCATGATGATGAAGTTGAATTAAATTTCTGATAATAATGACATCTGTTTGAGGAATGATGTTGTCAGTCATAAGATCATATATACTGAGGAACCATACCTGTCTATTGAGGGGAGTATTCTCACAGAGTTATCTCCCTTTGACAGGCTGCATGTTTGAATGTTCAAAATACATTTCCCAGACAATACAACTGATTTGTATGAGGAATACGCTTGAAGCTTCAATAAGCTTCAACATTAATTAAACCTATGATTGAGGGATTAAGACCTTTCTTTATGTGCTGGACATGCTCAGGTGCTCTTCTCCCTTTGACCAGCTGCACGTTTGATTTATACTTCGAACATTGAATTATGTCACACGAAATTGAGTTATTTATATCAGAAATGTGATTGACCTTCAGGATGTGTCTATATCCAGACAAGCAATACACTTCACAGAGGACCCTGTCCATCACTGATTTCTTATCATTATAACCTACATTCACATACATCGCCAATCTCATTATATCAGATCTTAGTTCTCGTTAGTGCTCAAAAAAGATCTGAGGACATCCCATAAGGGGTCATGTCAGAACGACCTTTCAAATTCATCCAACCAATCTCAGCGTCACTTACTAGATCATGAAAGTGGTGGTTGGAATGTGTTTTCTAATCATGCAACCTTGAAAAAGTTAACATGGGGTATTCCAATCTAAGTTCTGTCATAATCATCATCTTTCTCTCAGTGGGATATACATTTGAACGGAAGAGATCTTCCATTGCCCTTGGGAAGTACTGCTATACTATCTCAGCCATCTATTCCAGATTTTTGTTTTGTTCATTTTCAAATTTTGAATAAAGAACTGTCAAAATATTTTTCAAAGCAGTCTTGAATGGAAGTCACCAGTTTGAAACAATTGCTGTAAAACTCGATAAGCTGCTTTCTAATTGGCTAGTGTCAACTTCTTGTTAGCAAATTCATTGGTTGGTAAAAGTTCGCAAAAAGTCATTCTTGACATGACCTGAAATGGGATGTCCTCAGATCATTCTATCGGTAGTGAGCACTAAGATCTGATTCTAAATAAGATTGCATGCATCAGCTGTTCTGTGTGACGCTGTTAAACTGCCCTTAGACAATTAAGCAATATGCATTCTCACATTATATCAGCATGATTTGGAAAAATGTGGAAGTTAGAAATGTAAAATAATATTTGTTCTTCGATGCTTGATAGTAGGGTTGCTTGTCATAAGAGGCGACTAACAGGGTCAGGTTTGCTGACTACTGTCATCGCATCCCATTTGCATAGATCAATGCTCATGATGTCAATCACTGGATTGACTGTTCCAGGCTTGGATTACTTACAGACTGTGGTTATATAGCTGGAATTTTGTTGAGTATGAGTTAAACAACAAACACATTGCCGTCAGGTTAGTCTTCCAGGACAAAGGATATGCGATCCTACAAGTATTGGTATGATTGAGTCGTATTTATTGTAAAACTCTATTCACTTCCTTTTCGAGATGGGTTTGAATCCCAGTTCGCCCTGATTATGTGTCTAGGTTTGTCAGCACCATACCTGTGCTCGAGGTTTCAAGGAAGTGGTAAACGTCTAAGACCTCCATCACTTCTGGCTTTCGTCCACACCAAGCCGATACACCGTGATATAACTGATTTTAGCTTTAAACCCAACTCGCTCGCTCATACTGAGACAGTCAATGACAGAATAAGGTTAGAATGCTTGGCATGAATGTTCCCCAAAGAGTATCCCATAGCAACTATGGACAACACATGGCCTTCCATCCTTGTCAGGGGCAGTCAGGTAGCCTAGTGGTTAAAGCGTTCACTCGTCACGCCGAAGACCCGGGTTCGATTCCCGACAATGTGTGAAGCCCATTTCTGGTGTTCCCAGCCGTGATATTGCTGGAATATTGCCAAAAGCGGCGTAAAACCATAATCACTCACTCACTCCAGGCCTTGGATCACATCTCACAGCTTCAAACCAGGGTTACAAGGATCCAGTCTTTTGTGCTGCAAATTGCTGTGCAGAGTTGTGGCCCTTAGCTTTGCCAGGATCCACTAGCTGTGCATTTGAATCCAGGTATTGTTCCATTTATGATCCTTGGTCAGCACAATACCATGGGTTTCACGAGTAGTGTGATTGTATGCCAATACAGTTCAGGGTCAAACCCCACCCACTCACTCACCCTATACGGTCTTCAGAACATGAAAGTGATGAATGAGAGTTATTGTATCATCTGGACAGTGCAATCATTGTGAATATATGAAACCCAAAGCTTGTATTGTATCTTGTATATAATAAACAATCTATTGTATTCCTGCGTGTCATGTTCATGTTACAGTATTGGGGTGTTGATGAAGTCTCAGTGGCCATACTATGCTGTGTGTGCCAACCCCCATTTTGTATGCCAGATGCCAAGCCTTGTTAAGTGGTATTTTGGAAGTCTTAATGCTGGAAGCCATGAAATGTTTATCTGGTATACGGACACCAATATTTCAACGTTGAAACATATTTTTTTCTTGCAAAGAGTGACAAATCAGCCAAATAGCCCTAAACTTTTGTGCATGCATGGTCATGCATTGTATGTGAAAATCCCAGTCTAATGTACTTGTGGGGGCACAGGTGGCCCAGATGTCTAAGGTGCCACGATTCACTGTGCAGAGTTGCGTCCCTTGCGCATGCCAGAAACCTATGATTGTGGGTTCGAATCCGGGTTCGCCCTGATTATGTTTCTAGGTTTGTCACCACCATACCCATCCTCGTGGGTTTCACCGAATGGTAAACGTCTGAGACCTGCATCACTTCGGGCTTTCCTACCACATTAAGCTGACACGCCGTGATATGACTGGAATACTGTTAAAAGCGGCGTGAAACCCAACTCACTCACTCATTCAATAATTTACTCGCAACAGATATGTACACAAACAAGACTCAATATTTCTTAACCTGGATACCTCAATGGTAGAGGTTGGCACCCAGTACCGAGTTGTTGTGAATGTCGGCAGAGATACAAGGCTCTCTACAGTATAACAGCTGAGATATTGCTCACTCCTTCAGTATTCAGAGCTTTACAACCGCATCAGATAAGCTCTATTTTGCTCTTGCTCACTTCAGCTGCTACAGTAAAACAGACAAGATGTGCCTCCCTTAAGACTGTTCTCTGTAGTAACAGCTGAGACATATTGTCATGCAAGCATTTTCCTCAACACACAAGTGTATCCACACCAGACCTGAAAATTTGGCACCACGATGGGAGTTGGAATAATGCTGTTTGCAGCAGTATACAAATTCACTTGCTTATGCCACATACTTTCAAAGGGACAATCATGACGATTGTCTCGCAAACATTGCTAAGCATTAGAAAAAACCACAAGAACAGAAAAGATGTTGCATATACACTTTTAATCATTATTCACAAGATGTCGGGTACATCACTTTGACAATGTATCTAATTAATCTGACTTTGAAAATAATGAATTGTTTGCTAGGCATTACTCAGAAGTTGACAGATGACAAAGTAGACACAATTTATGGATAACAAGGCGACTTTTCGGTGTAGATCCTTATACTGTTGTCAAGCAAGGATCTATTCCGAAACGTTGCCTTAAAAGTATTAAAGAAGTTGTTATCCATAAATTGTGTCTACTTTGTTGAAAATAATGCTAAGAAAATAATCATGATAACTGCCACCTATGGATAAAACGTGTGAATACCTATTCCTTGACCATAAATATACAAGTGGCTAACCTGATTTTTAACAGCCATATTTGCAAGACTACAAGAAAGAATACATAACTTTGTATCGGGATTTTTGAAAATCAGATGCTGATATTTACAGGCATACACCAACCATCACGGAGACAAAACACTGTTCAGTACCGATGCATATCGGCAGCTGGCTCCCCAGCTCGTCACAACTTGATCTGGCACATCTGGTACAGGTCAGCGAGTCTTGGCCACTCCACCATGTCCACACACACACATATTAGTCCATAGCTACTTAACACAGAGACTCCTCTCTGCTTCTCATTGCTTGACCCCAATCTGGTAGTGGTCAGGCAGTCTGGTCATCAATTCCACTGCCTGGTTGTACATCTGCATATCTAGTAGGGAAGGAAATAAAGTTGTCAGATATATTTTTGTTTACTGATGAGTTTGTTTGTTTGTTGTTTTACGTCGCACTCAGCAATATTCCAGCTATACGACGGTGGTCTGTAAATAATCGAGTCTGGGTCAGATAATCCAGTGATTGACATCATGGGCATCGATCTATGCAATTGGGGTCGATGACATGCATCAACTAAGTCAGCGAGCCTGACCGCCCGATCCCATCTTCCCTGACTATAAAAATCCAGTTTCCACCCTTGCCTAACTAGGCTGGTATTATGGAGTTACATTTTGGCTGGACTAACGAGTCTATGCATAGTCCAATCAAAGTTGCGCACCGAAATCAAAATCCGGTTCGTAAACTGTCGTGCAGATTTCGGTCGATTGAACGATTTGCAAAGCATGTGCATCGCTAACTCGTTGTCAGCAGATATTTTCCAAATCTTTTTATGTTTTTAATCAAGGTGCTCATGTGATTGATGCATATCGCGATGTAAGACCTGTTTAATCACAATATAGATCTTGATTATCGAGCAGATCGTCCTGACTCGGTGCCACCATTTAGTGTGAAGCAAACGCAAATGATACGAGAGGTGGAATCTGATCGGTCCATAGGAGAGGCTTAGAAGGGACATAACTGGTAATAGCCACTGGTGGCGCTACGATCGAGCCCAGTAATTCCAGCCTAGTTCGGCAAGGGTGGAAACTGGACTTTTAAAGTCAGTTAATGCTCTTGCCTCGGGAAGATGGCCCGATCCCGGTAGTTGTCTCTTCCAACAAGCATTGTCGCTTTCACGGCAAGCATGGGTTGCTAAAGACCTATTCTACCCCAGATCAGTAGGGTTTGACTTTGCTTTCAACTGTATTTCAGTTATTTCCTGTGGGAGCAAAGTTTGTATCACTTTGGTGAAAAACATGAGCATGGACAAGATGCTGACAAACCAAGAAACATAATCAAGGTTCCTGGCATACCTAAGGGACACAACTGTGCACACCAAAAAGGGATGCCTTCAGATTGTGACCCTGATTTAGTCCTGCACAAGGTATAAAAATAAACAACTTAAACATATTGGGCTTGATTGATTATGTGTCTACTAAGCACACCATACTTGTTTGTATTCATACATTGATATATATTTTATGAGCATTTTTCCGATTATGTTTATACATGATACATATACATATATCAGACCACCTCCGTGGTCTAGTGGTAGAGCGTCTCCCCAGAGAGAGGAAGGTCCAGGTTTCGATCCCTGGCCTCATCATACCAAAAGAGGTTAAAAGATGGTACTTGTTACCCTGTCTGGAGCTCTGGGGCTAGAACAAGGACTGGTCGGCTTGGGGTCAGTATACTGTGGCCGAGTGGTGTATTTATGTTAAACTGTGGTATGGTATCTCAGTTACCTTGCACTATAAATCAGCATCAGTCTGGACAAAAAGCATCAAAACTCTTTATGGAGTGTATAATGTGCACCCCCTTCTACCCAGCTGTGTTTTTTGGAAAAAAAGTGTGCACTATACTCAAGAAAATACGGTGGTATAAGCAGCTCCCTCCCACCCTCCCACACACATGCATGCACGCACGTCGCTATATAAGTGCAACAATCTTGGACGCAATGTTAAACCCAATTTCACCTCGCCTATGAGCATTTTCTAGAAAGTATATCATCCAACCCAAATTTGTATTGATTTGGCCACCCACATTTTGGTATAGCATATAATGCATATCACGTCGGGGAAGCATAGGAGAGCAAGTTACATGATAACCACATAGCACAACCAGCAGCTGACCTACCAAAAGTATTCGATGCTTGTTCAGGAAACAGAACATAGTGGTCACACACGATGCCGGAGCCTCGCTCATCAACCTTGCCGTGGATCTCTGTCAACCCTGCCACGTACTCTGTCAGCTGAAACACGATCATTTACAATGAGTGAGTGAGTTTGGTTTTACTCAGCTTTTAGCAATATTCCAGCAATATCACAGCGGCGGACACCAGAAATGGGCTTCACACATTGCACCCATGGTGGGAATCGAACCCAGGTCTTCGGCATGACGAACTAACGCTTTAACCACTAGGCTACCCGACTGCCCCGTAATGAGGAAGAAAATCCCGAAGTTCTACATGATTACCTACCACTTTAGCATGTTTAGTGAAACCCACTAGCATGGTGCAGACAGACCAAGGATTCAAACCCACAATCATTGGATCCTGGCAGGCCCAAGGGCCACAACTGTGCACAGCAAATTGTGGTATCACAGACGACTGGGCCACCAGTTCACCTCAAATGTGATTAAAGAAACCATTGTTTAAGCTGAAGTATGCAAGGTAGGACTGCCAGATAATGGCTGATTCCCATGTGCACTTACAGGTTCCTGCATGGTGATTTTAATTTCCTTTCCGTCTCCAGTAGCCAGTGTCAGGCCAAGGCCGCTGCTGTCCACCTGCAACAACGAAATAAACTGTCCACTATGAATGTGAGCATGTTTTACAATGTTTCCTTAAGAAATAAACGACAAGTGGGGTTTGTTTATTTCTTCAATGAAATATCAACATTACATGCAGCCTCTTTAAGGATGTTAGTAAAAAGTACAAGCTTTAGAAATATTTACCCATATTTAAATAATGATGACTCCCTGAATAGAATCTGACCCACGGCAATGTCGGACAAGTCCAGCGGTCGCGCTATAGCGCAGTAATTGAGTGAGTATTGTTTTAAGATGCTTTTAGCAATATTCCAGCAACAGCCCAGAAATGGGCTTCATACATTGTACCCAGGGTACCCGGGTACCCATCAAACCCGGGTCTTTGGCGTGACGACCGAACACTTTAACCAATAGGCTACCCCACCGCCCCTCTTGGCAACTGAGCTGATGGTAGCACTCAGGCTGCGCCCGGTAAACTGCATTGTTGCCAGGGAGTAATGCACTCTACCTGGCGCACTTTTTCAGATCCAGTTAGCGCTGCGGGGACTCAAATGCGGTTCGCCAGATCACCATCTTGGCTAATTAATGTGCTATAGCAGGGTAATTGAGCGGATGATACTGGTAGTGCTCGGGCTGTGCCTGGTCTACTGCATTGTTGCCCTTGCATTTGCTGCAGGATTTAGATCATGTTATATCATGATGTTTATATAGACCTAAATCTAAATTGCTATTTTCGATTTGGATTACGAAATTTCACATTTGAGGAATTTGTTTACGAACTCGTTTGGGTTACGAAATTACCGCAGCCCCTGTTCAACAATCATTTTCAATACAACTCAACCCTAGCGACTAACGTTTAATTATCATTAGTGAATTACTGACAAAACGTTTTCATACACATGCATAGGGCCTACAGAGTGACTTATTCAGCCTATTTCTGGCTCTGGCGCTACTTACATTTTTGGCCATTCCTAGGGCGCACACCTGTCTTCCTGAGTAAGAAGACAAGAGCGATGCATTTACTCTTGGGCGAGAAAATTCGTTGTCCATGTCTGTTTTATAAAAGTAAGACGTTCCCACGAACACAACAATCTGCAAACTTCGCGGGAAATTCTTCAGCGGAAGCTGCTGATTTCACTTCCGGCTCCATCATAGTATATTCAGAATAACATATCTCAAGATTCGGTTCAGTACATAAAGAGGTTTGCCAATCAAATTCATTTTTAATCTTACTCAGTACATAATACAAAATACGAGGAAAATTAATAAAAAAAACCGAAATACTATATGGCGTTAGATATGAATGTTCAGTTAAATTTATATACATCCAAATTTACTTTAGAATTTGTTTTATGGATGATAGTATATACAAGTACCTGTCATCCCCCTTGTGTTGTATTTCGAGGTATAAGCACTACAACATGATTCATATTACATGGTAGACGCCGATTGAGTCAGCTTCTTATTCTGCCAGTTGCCCAACATCGTTCAGACATTTAATAGTGACATATTTGCAAGAAAAGACTTAATCTGCGTGTGTCAGCCCATCTTCGAAACAGAAAGTAAGTTTGAATATCAAAAACATTAACGTCATACGTCAACCAGCTTGTCAGATCATTGATACTACATACGGTATGTTAGGTTAGGTTAGGTCCATGGTTAGATTTAAAAAACGAACGAACATATGGATGTAATGAAACAAGTGTGTAAACTGGTAATACATGTAGAACGCTGGCAGCAATCTATGTTATGTCAATAAATGCTCCTGATATTTAGGCCTACATATCAAGAATTCTCTTAATTCTTTATCTTAATTCATAAATTATTTTGTGACCCCAAAAGGCTGTTTTGTAATGTAAACATTTACCTTTGTCATTTTTGTGGATGACAGAAAATGATTTATTAATGGCTAATGGCAGTCCCAACAGTTGAATGTCAATTTATAGTGAATGTCAGGTGTCATGAAAATTATATTTTTTAAAAAGACATGTTCGCGCTAAAAAGACTAGACAGAGCCAGTGACTGAGGGAGAGAGTGAAGACAGGTTCCAGATGTTTACCACTTTCAGTGAATTAAATGGATCATGGTATTCATAATTATGGTAAAATGGAGAATTAAATGGATCAATGGTATTCATAATTATGGTAGAATGGAGAATTAAATGGATCAGTGGTATTCATAATTATGGTAGAATGGAGATATGATACACTGCAGGATGATATGGGTTGTCAAACTTTATTTTGGTTTTGATGAGAAAGATGATGAGCCCCTAACTGTTGTTTGGAATACCCTGTTATAACCTTTTCGAGGTTGCATGGTTAGAAAAAACCCATTCCGACTGTCACTTTCCCGATGCTCTGAACTAAGATCTGATATTAATGAGATTGCCTCCCACATTAACATGATCAAGCTGACATCCTGTGTTATTACTGAAATACTGTTATAAGTGGCGTTAAACCAAACTCACTCTCCTATCATTGATTGTCTGCTTCTGCTACAGGTACCTGGTGCTAGATGTGAGCCACACAGAGGAGTCAATGTTGCAGTCAGTGTTCAGCAGGTTAAAGTTGCTACCCCAAAGTCAGACTAAGGATGTTACCCGTTATCCCCCTGATGGTAACCATGACGATCGTGAAGAAGATGGGTTCTTGATGATTGGTGAAACTGCTAGTGATCGTACTACCGTCACTCATCAACAGTATGTTGATCAGCACAGAATGCATTCACCTCCAGACTACGCACAGGTAGGATATAGCTTTATCGGGTTGAGAAATATTATGACAGAAATTGCCCCTGGATATTTTCAAAACCATTGCTTTAAGAGGGATGGTATTATAACATTTACTGTAATATAAGTTTTAGACATGTTTAGAATTTGTTTGATTATGAACTCAAAGGTAACCTTGGTAACACTTTTTATGAAACTGATTCCTTTGTCATCATGTTTGTATACATGAAAAATGAGGCCAATAAAAAGTCAATACCAAAGTCACCGATGTTTTTGTTTTGCTGAATGCACGCTTCTTTGTCCTGTGTATCCTAGAAAATCAGGTTACCGTAATTAATGTTCATTAAAAAAGAGAGAAGAAAATGCGACCTGACAACATCTAGAACATCCTTTTCCACATGTTTTTTTGTCAAAAACATGAAAGTGTATAAGCGAAGGGTTCTTGTCATATAAACAACAAAAAATTAAAACAATATTTCTAAGTTTTCCCCAATTTGAAATTTAGTATTTCATTCCTTGATCAGTTTAAGATTGCAAATGTATAGTTTAAGGCCTAAGGACCAATTATTTAATGGTCTGTTTAAATGACTACTTTTTTTTCAGACCCAAATGGAGCAACCTCCCGGCTACCAAGGTGCAATGACAACAGGCGTAGTGGGAATGAACATGCAGTTGTCTCCCCTTGATATGTTTTCCAACAACAACCACATGTTGCCTCTGGCTGACATCCCGTTCCAACTGGCACCACATCTGTCTTTATTGCAGAGACTGGACTCACTGGACAACCGGCTTGGGTTACAGACGTCCACATTAGATTTGTCCAAATATGATTATGACTTTAGCTATGAGTTGAAATACTTGCAGGAATTTGGGTAGTGGTATTTTTTGAGTGAAGGCAAAGAGAATCAATCCAGTCTGAGATTACTGCGACAATAATGACAGAGTTACTCCCCTTTGTTCAAGGATTTATATGAGAGGTGCATGTGACAGTGTGGGTTCAAATACTATTTGTCGCAAGTCTCGTACCCCAGTGCAATATTTCAAGGGAGACAAGTATTTGACACATTGTACACTCAGGATGAATAGATAGACCCAATGGTTAGGCACTTACAAATACTCCATCTTAACTAGTTTTGTAGAGACAAGAGTCTCCGTTGTATATGGTGCTGCAATTTGCTGTGCAGAGTTGCATTCCTTAGGCGTGCCAGAAACCTATGATTGTGGTTTAATATCCCAGATTCTCCCTAATAATGGTTCTTCGTTTGTCAGCACTTAGTATATATTCAGAATATATTTGAATATCAGTGCTGATCAGTGTTTGAAATAAATATAAAACCCAACAAGACAGCCTGGCAGGTTGCTCATAATTGTTGCCTGCCCATCTTCCAAGTTACCTGCCCGCATTCAGACATTTTTTTATTTTGTTAAATCAAAAAAAAATGTTGATACAAATCACATCTTGATTAAGTTGAAACAATGCAAAACAATCACTTTAGAATCTACGAGAAGTTAAGATAAAACTGAATACATAAGTACTGGTAGTCTTAAAATTATCTGCCAGAACTTCGGGCAGGTTTCAGGAAAATGTCATGCAGCCCGACAGAAAAGTTACCAGCAATGTTCACTGGACACTGACAAGCAAACTCACTCACTTACCATCGGGCAGGTTTCAGGAAAATGTCATGCAGCCCGACAGAAAAGTTACCAACAATGGTCACTGGATGCTGACAAGCAAACTCACTCACTCACCATCGGGCAGGTTTCAGGACAATGTCATGCAGCCCGACAGAAAAGTTACCAACAATGGTCACTGGACGCTGACAAGCAAACTCACTCACTCACCATCGGGCAGGTTTCAGGACAATGTCATGCAGCCCGACAGAAAAGTTACCAACAATGGTCACTGGACGCTGACAAGCAAACTCACTCACTCACCATCGGGCAGGTTTCAGGACAATGTCATGCAGCCCGACAGAAAAGTTACCAACAATGGTCACTGGACGCTGACAAGCAAACTCACTCACTCACCATCGGGCAGGTTTCAGGACAATGTCATGCAGCCCGACAGAAAAGTTACCAACAATGGTCACTGGATGCTGACAAGCAAACTCACTCACTCACCATCGGGCAGGTTTCAGGACAATGTCATGCAGCCCGACAGAAAAGTTACCAACAATGGTCACTGGACGCTGACAAGCAAACTCACTCACTCACCATCGGGCAGGTTTCAGGACAATGTCATGCAGCCCGACAGAAAAGTTACCAACAATGGTCACTGGACGCTGACAAGCAAACTCACTCACTCACCATCGGGCAGGTTTCAGGACAATGTCATGCAGCCCGACAGAAAAGTTACCAACAATGGTCACTGGACGCTGACAAGCAAACTCACTCACTCACCATCGGGCAGGTTTCAGGACAATGTCATGCAGCCCGACAGAAAAGTTACCAACAATGGACACAGGACGCTGACAAGCAAACTCACTCACTCACCGTCGGGCAAGTTTCAGGACAATGTCATGCAGCCCGACAGAAAAGTTACCAACAATGGTCACTGGACGCTGACAAGCAAACTCACTCACTCACCATCGGGCAGGTTAAAGGAAAATGTCATTCAGCCCGACAGAAAAGCTACCAACAATGGTCACTGGACGCTGACAAGCAAACTCACTCACTCACCATCGGGCAGGTTTCAGGACAATGTCATGCAGCCCGACAGAAAAGTTACCAACAATGGTCACAGGACGCTGACAAGCAAACTCACTCACTCACCATCGGGCAGGTTTCAGGACAATGTCATGCAGCCCGACAGAAAAGTTACCAACAATGGACACTGGACGCTGACAAGCAAACTCACTCACTCACCATCGGGCAGGTTTCAGGACAATGTCATGCAGCCCGACAGAAAAGTTACCAACAATGGACACAGGACGCTGACAAGCAAACTCACTCACTCACCGTCGGGCAAGTTTCAGGACAATGTCATGCAGCCCGACAGAAAAGTTACCAACAATGGTCACTGGACGCTGACAAGCAAACTCACTCACTCACCATCGGGCAGGTTAAAGGAAAATGTCATTCAGCCCGACAGAAAAGCTACCAACAATGGTCACTGGACGCTGACAAGCAAACTCACTCACTCACCATCGGGCAGGTTTCAGGACAATGTCATGCAGCCCGACAGAAAAGTTACCAACAATGGTCACTGGACGCTGACAAGCAAACTCACTCACTCACCATCGGGCAGGTTAAAGGAAAATGTCATTCAGCCCGACAGAAAAGCTACCAACAATGGTCACTGGACGCTGACAAGCAAACTCACTCACTCACCGTCGGGCAAGTTTCAGGAAAATGTCATGCAGCCCGACAGAAAAGTTACCAACAATGGGCAGGCGGGCTGGCAGTTATTTCGGACACTGACAAGCAAACTCACTAACAATGAGGTGTCAGACACTGATGCTGATAGCAACTTTTGTTAAGTGACGGTCTTTGTTGAAAGTTTAACTGTTGACTATTTATGAAGGAGAGCTACAGTGCATGTTCTGAAGTATGCTTATCATTCTGTTACAGCTACGTAACATGTGACCCTCTCAAACATGTTTTAACCACAGGAATAAACAAACACTACGCTATGGCATGTATTTTCAGACTTTGACATTACTTCCTTCGTGTGATAGTCAGACATTGTTTCTGTCCAGTTTCCACCCTTGTAGTCAGTTAGCTCCCTTGCCTCGGAAAGATGGTGGAATGGGAGTTCTGGTTTAGTTTAGTTTGAGTCTGATATATGTCATGAAACTACAAGGTAACCATTGAGGGCCAGCCAGCGGTTGGAAGACTTGAAGTATCATGTGACCTAAATACATCACATTCTGCACTTGCCAAAAGTGTAATAACTACCATTTTCGATTGATGAGTAGAAAAAAACCTGTGGAACATAAAAAGCATGAAGATGTAAGCCTTGTTTTGGGATTAAGCAGTGTTTGGAATGAGCACTTGATGACTTGCTTTAAGTTAGCAGAATAAAGTATATGTGTTATGAATGGTTTATTGATTGGACTGCCCAGGTTTTACAGTCGACACATGCAGTGAAGCATTTCTTTGCAATGGCTGTTTTGTGGTGCAAATGTTACAAGGATTTATTTGAAATGCTGCCAGGATATATTCATCTATTGCTGTTTATTATATCGATATGGATTACATATGTTTTCATAACAGTAAACTGTTGATGGTAGGTTAGAATCCTAGATTTGCCCCAAATATAATCCTTGACTTGATCTTGGAGGCTTCTCCAACGTGGTCAGTTTCTACAACTGTGTCACTAAGCTCACACGACAGACACACCCATTGTTATGTAACTGAAATCTGTTCAAAACAGCATCTAATTCACTCTCTCATACAGCATGTACCCATTACAGAATGTCAGTTAATTACCGTATATCGCTGTGTATAAGGCGAGTTTTTCGTACCTAAAATAAGGGGGCTAAGAAGGGGGGTCGTCTTATACACGGAGTCGAAGATCTCACATTTTTTTCCCACTGGCGATGTCAACCGGCGTCCGATAGCCAGCCCAGCATTTGACAATAAAACTTCGCATTTCGTCCTCAATAACTGTTCCAATAAATATTTCCATACATAAACATGATTTGTATCTCTTTTCCTTGAATAAAGTTTAATAATTTCTGCAAATAAAGTTGAAATGACCCTCGCCTCGATGCAGATTGACACGGTAAAACAATCAACATCCGCGAGTAGAGAGCCGGAAGTACCGGTAAGCATTTGCATATTGCACATGTGACCTAACATGTGATAACCGGTGAAGCTGAAATCAATTCCCGCTGTTTTTACAGTTGTATTAACAGGTGTTGGAGACGGTGTGTACAAGTGATTGTGGAATAAACACGCTGAATGTGAAGCAAACATAAGTCTAGTTAGTTACAACATAGTTAATTGGCGATTAAATTACTCTTGAGGGTAGTCTTGAGGGTTATAGGGCAACACATCCGTTTAATAGGTTAATCAGAACACTGTTACTATCATGTACTTTCAAAGTGCTTTGAAAAACATTTTGTCTGCTTTGTGACCATGCTTGTAGAAAGAGGCAACTAATGGGATCGGATGGTCAGGTTCGCTGACTTGGTTGGATGTCATTGTATCCCAATTGCATAGATCGATGCTCATGATGTCAATCATTGGATTTAAGTGAAGATGCGGTGTCACTAAAAAATGCCAGGTTGTGAACAGTATCCATAACAATATATAGCAAAGCCTTTTACAGGTGTAGACATTTCATATCAAACTAATGTGCAGCTCATTTTGGACTAGTGGGTTTTGAAACTAGATTTTGGCATAAAACATCTAGTCCCGCTAAATTTTGACTAGCCTCGGACTATGAGACTAGTGTCTATGTCTATCCCTGTTTATTATTTTGCATTTCGAACCCCTGGTTAGGTCCATTTCTAAGTTGCAGAATACAGATTTGTGAATGTTTTGCTGACTTGTACCAAGAATTTAGAAGCCTACTAGCGGATTGGCTGATTAGAAAGATCATGTGACACAAGGGTGTTGTGAGAACTTCATGCAGGGATGCATTTTAATGAGATTGTTGTTTGAGTTTGCTTAAGTTTTTACCATGAGTATATGTATTATTTCACCAAACATTAAGATGACTGAAGTCTCTTGAAGTCAATGGAATACAATACTATATTATTGTGTAGTGTCTAAACAGCCCTTTCATGTGTTGTGGTTTGCTACATACATGTATTGTTTTTATAAACATATTAAAGTTTTAATAAAACTGCTTCGTCTTTCTTTTTTTTATCTCAGATTAACCGTAATTTTGTGAAATGGACTGGCGGAGTACTTGTCTTTTCAGTATTCTGAGTTGGTCAAGAAAGCCTTGTTGTTAAAGTGGTCACTTGTGACGCCTAACATCTGGGTTTGATTCCCCTCATGGATACAGTGTGTAGAGGCCTGGCATTTTCAGACCCTGTACTTCTTCCTACACATCTTTATATGTCCAGGGGGCACGGGTGGCCCAGTCGTCTAAAGCGCCGCCATTCGCTGTGTAGAGTTGCGTCCCTTGGACACGCCAGAAACCTATGATTGTGGGTTCGAATCCCGGTCCACCCCGATTATGTTTCTAGGTTTGTCAGCACCATACCCGTGCTCGTGGGTTTCACCGAAGTGGTAAACGTCTGAGACCTGCATCACTTCGGGCTTTCCTCCCACAATAAGCTGACACGCCGTGATATAACTGGAATACTGTTAAAAAGATGGCGTTAAACCCAACTCACTCACTCACTTATATGTCCATCTCGCCCCACAGTCTTGTGTACAGTAAACTATGGTTATAACAAACTCAAAGGGACCACTAACTTTTGGTCATTATATCCATTGTTCGTTATAAGCATTCAGACCATCAGACTCGATAAATAACAAAATTGTGCACTGTACATGTACAGAATATATCCACTTCAATCACTGTGTTACTATTGTTAATTGAGGGTGTAATTTG